GATCCTGTGCTGCATGTCTTGGCCTTACATGACTGGATCAGCTACATATAGGCTACAGTGACCGCTTTGTCAGCTCTCCTCTACCTTCTTCTTGCTGCCATGGATTTGGCCGAGTCAAAGACCCAGCAATATGTCCAGGCCATCGCAAAGAGAGAGCGGTTCATCGCAAACGTGAAGGCCAAGCCTGGATATGAGGCATATGTGGTTGCTCGGGAGAAGGAGGCCCGTGGCAAGGACTGCTCCCCGCCACGCACTCCTTCGGCGCACGGCCCCAAGAGACAGTGGGAGCGCAATTGCTGCGCATGGAGACAAAGCCTTCGATCCTTCGGCATACTCGAAGGACGGACGAGTGCACTTGGAGGTGCCTAGGTGCCTGCTGGACTTCCTTGCCTGGCCCAGAGAGAGGCCTGAGCATTTCATGGCTTTGTGGCATGGACGTGGTCTTCGCAGATGCAATTAAGTTGCAGGCTTACCTGCATTGCACGCTAGCTATGGTCACACTTTTCTCGACAACAACCGGGACGTGTGCAGCACGACGCATGCTGGTGAGCAAAATGAAGCCCGCCGACACCAGAGACCCAGAGAGAGATACATAAACACACAGACACAAAACCCCCCCCCCCCCCCCCAAACAGAGAGACACATCTACAAATTAGGACCTGTCGGGAACTGCTTAGTGTGGCCACTACAGCTCAAGTTCACAATAGTAACTACAAGCGGCTAATCCGCATAATCCTTATGCGGCTAATCCGCATGGTAAGTAATCTAACGGCGGCTAGTCCGCCTTTTGTCGAGGACTTACTTAGTAACAAAGGGATTGTAGTTCACATGCTCGCAATGTTTTTTTCGCACACACACACACACACACACACAGACGCACGTGCAAACACGCAGTGACACTGACATCTCAGTATCAGTAACAAAACTTTTACCTCTCACTTTTTTGCAAACTGTGATCCAACCAAGGCTCTGGGCATTGGCTTCTCTCGACATCGAACGCAGTATGATATGCTGTGCAACTTCCTGGACGCAACGCTCAGCTGCGTGGCAGAAATGCAAAGCTACTCCTTACATCTTCTCTCTGCTCCAGCTAATGCTGCCAGCCTGCTGGTGGATGCTTATGAGGGACATGATGTGAACGCGTTACACTGCAAAGTGCTCCTTGACATGAAACAAGAATGGTCCCTGGTGCTCGCAATGGAACGCCACAAGGAACTTTCCCGACTTCTGCAGGCGCATTGCCCATATGTGCGGTACCAATGCTACAGGGAAATCATGTCCACAGCCGAAAAGGGCAACTTCAAGCTCACCACAGAGCTCAAGGACGTGATAGGTGCATGGTTTCCTCGTCTGACGCAAAGCGCCAATGTGGAGGATGTCTTCAATTCCCTACAAGATGCTGTGAAGAGATCGACAAGAACAGATTGTGGATCAATGGCAAACCTGTCAGCCGTGGCAGTGAGGTCTTGCTACAACAAGCTCTCTGATGGGGAGGGCCAGGGCTTCAGTGTTCGACTTGAGGACAGCGATTTCGAGGGCAGTCTGGTAAGAGGCCTGAAAGCACGCATCTTCTCCCCCGAGTCATGCCATGGGAGAGCCTTGCCTGGGTGTTCGTTGGGTCAAAGCTGATCATTCAGTTTCCAAAGTAGGGCTGTAGACAACTTGCTCTTCATGTAACATGGACAGCAGCTTTGCTTTGAGATGTCCACTCATGTGTGTGAGACCCAGTAGACTGCCCAGTGTGACAACAACTTAAATTTTGAAACGGATTTGTTCATTGCTAACAGGGATTTCTATTCTGAACTATCCTCCTTGTAACCAAGATCGAGATATCTCTTTGGACAGCATCATCAAGGACGCCGCTGCCTGCACTGCCCACAACCACAACAAGAAGTCCTTGAATTACATGAAGGCCTTCCTGCTCGCACAACAGATTCTTGGAATATTTTCACACCTGCAATGCAGAGCATGTGAATGCTTTGGCCTCATGCCGCAATTGTAAGGAACAATGTGGACCTGGAAACAGCTGCCAAGTCTTTCTGGGTGCCAATGCTTTACAGAAGAGGAATGATGCTTCAAGTTCAACAGAAATTCTATCTCTGTTTGCAAAGCACCCCAGCTGTTTGCTACGACGCTCAACTGAACAATTGCTGGCTGGATTTAGAACACAGCAAAAAACAAAAAAGAAGCTTCAAGACTTGGAATACATTATCAAGGAAGAAATTGGTGTTGCAAGAAAGCTATGATTAAGGGGTCTCGTTTGATCCTGTCTTGCAATATCAGCAAGGCAGTGCCCTTGGAAGAAGTGCACCTGGAGTTCCGTGGCTCGCTCCCAGAAGAGGTCATGGATGAGCAACGCGTGCCAGCCAACTCAAGCCTTTGCCGTTTGAATGACCCGCTGTCTCCGGGTGAGTCTGTCCCAGCATTGCGTCTGAGCCTCCGCCCGAGACTTGGCAGATCTATGTTGCTTGCTCATCTTTGTTGAAAAATGACTGAGAATGACCACAAAAGCTCATAAGCAAGGATGTTGGTGAAGGCTCTGCTCCTCAACTTTGCTGAGGTGGCCTGGTATGGTTCAGACTAGTGCATGCCAAGAAAGTTTCTTTTGTGTCAGTCACAGGAAACAAATAAGGTTGGATGTTTCCAGTACACGGTGCACACTTGCAGTGGCCAGCTGGCGCAAAAACTGGGCTGCAACGTCCTGTTCCGCCGAGCAGTCAACGCAGAGCCAGTGGTGGTCAGCTTGGTTCGCTCGCACGAAATCACAAAGATATCTTCAGACAATCTGAGCATGATTTTGAACATGTACAACTCCAAACTCCGCAAGAACGCAACAAAAACACAGAAGATCCGGACCCTGCTAAGTCTGGCAGTCATCACGGATAGTGTGAGCAAGGAGACTATTGACGGGCTTGTGGCACTGTTGGACAAGCTTGACGAGCAAAGAAAGAAGAAGAACGCATCGACAAATCCGGACGACGACGAGGATGAAGAGCTGGAGGAGAGGATGAGATTTGGCAAGCCAATAGAAACCCAGCATTGTAAGGCATGAAAACAAGACAACCAGCATAGTTCCGAAAACCCAAAAAACGAAAAATCCACCAACGCAAGTATACTGCAGCCTTCAGCTCCATTTCATTCTTTGTGTGGTCGCAGGAAGAAGAAGATCCCATGCAAGACCGGGATCCTGCATGGGTCGCTGCAGCTTCCTTGCTGCAAGACATGGAGAAGGATTGTAGGGTTGGAACACATCGTGTCGAATAATTCGTGAAAAAGATCGCGGGGAGGTCTTCACAAATTTTGCTGTCTGCTTGTGAACTGTGGTTTTCTTGGGAACCTACCTTGCTCGGCAGGAAGAGACAGAAGATGTGGCTGATCCAAATCCTGCAGCCCAAGCCAGTGCTGATGCTGCTGCTCGGACAAGAATTCTGATCTGTGTTGATGTTTGCTTGAAGCCCGCACGTTCCTAGGTTCATTTGACGGGGAGAGCTGAGCATGTAACAGTTGCTTGTAATTGTAGAAATTGAACTGACTGCTGTTCCCCCAGCAGAGATCACTATTCATAATGGTTAAGTTAGTTAAGGAAAATGGCCCTGCTGAAGAGAAGGCGCCACAGGAAGGAAACAACGCTGGTCAGGAGAATGTGGCCAGGGAAAGGGAAACCAGGCGCTTGCTGGCGTGCACTAGCACGGTGCCGGAGCATCTGACCAACCGCTGGCCTGTCATGGACAATGTGACCATCTTTCACACGATCACCAAAGACTCCACGCTTCCGTTCTTTCAGGCCAGGCTGCATAGCGGAACGTACGAGAACAAGATTCTCAACTGAATTTCTGCTCCTAAGTTTTTTTGCGACAAGATGCATGTTTCCAGCAGTTTGTTGATGTGCTCGTAAATAGTGAACATCTTTCAATCAGTTGTCAACATGGCTAGCTTGCACAACCTTAGGGGATCGTGCTCAGCAAGCTACAACCTGCAGATCGATGCGAATCAATTCGACTCTTCAATTGAGTTGGTGTCCAAGATGACAGCCAAAAAGCGAAGTCAGACACAGGCGTACTACATGGTTTGGAAGTGGGCTGACAAAGCCTCCAAGAGCACCAAGAGGAGACGCAAGTAGTGAGTGCAGTGGCTCGGAGCTGGGTTTCAAGCCACAGCAGAATCAGGATGATGTCAACCCTCTAACAAATATCGAACTCTTCCCATAGAGGTCTTGCTTCTATGTTTCAAAGCAGTCCTGGCCTGTGTGTGGTTCATGAAAAGACATGTTCTGCAGCAAAGAGACTGAGAAGCAGTCGCAAAAAGGAACAGGTACGCACATGAACATTCAAAGCCCAAACAAGTTGAAGCAGAACCCCAAATCAAAGCAGAAGGGCCATCCTTGTAGAATGGCTATGGGCCCTTATGACAAAAGTTCAATCACTGTGAAAGGGCGAAAAGGTTGACAAATTTAAAAGGTTAAACAGCTTAGTGGTTGCTGGTGGTGGTGCCGGTGCTGGTGCTGGCGCCGTGAATGTGGGGTATGGGTTGCCGGTTGCGGGTTGTGGGTTGTTGGCGTTGTGCCTTGTGGGTTGTTGGTTGTTGGCGCTGTTGGTCGTTGGTTGTTGTTGGTCGTTGGTTGTTGGCCTTGCTGGTCGCTGGTTTGTTGGTTTGTTGTTGGTTTGTTGTTGTTTTGTTTTGTTGTGGGCGCTGTGGGCGGTGTGGGGTTTGGGTCGTTGTGGGCGTTGTGGGCGTCGTTGGCATCGTCGTTGGTCATTCGTCGGTCGTCGGTGGTCATTCGTCGTCGGTAGTCGGCCGTTGGCCGTTGTTCGTTGTTCGTTGGTTAGTTGGTTCGTGGGTTTCGTTGGTTCGTTGGTCGGTTAGTCGTTGGTTTGTGTTCGTGGGCTGTTGGTCGATGGTCGTTGGTTGCTGGTTGAAATAAATACACATATAAAATGCCATATACCCCGCACCACGCTGATGACACATCGGCTTCGAGAAGGTCGTTGGGAGGTACCGGCACTTCAGGTTCAGGAGCTCCTTCTCGCGCTCGTTCAAGACCTGAGCCGGTGCCCCGCCCGCATTTCAGAGTTCATGTTCTCTCTTCCCTCTCTTGAGGTCTCCCGGTCTCTCTCCTCAAGTTGTCTCGCTCTTTGAGTTCTGTCATATGCAGCTTGTAAGGCTTGACCTTCTCTCTTCATTTCTGTCCGGGCACCTGGAGGAAGTCGGCATCCCGAACCGCCGTGTAGGGCCGGTCGTACTGGTAGTCGTGCCTGGCGCATCGCGCTGAGGGCGCCGTTAGAACCGTTAGAACCACGTCTGTACGGGGTTGGGACAGGGGGTCCTGCAAGAACCAGGTCACGTCACGTTGGGCACTTCTCACGTATGCAGCCATTCTGGTCGAGCTGCCCCGCTCGGTGGTTGTCGTACTTTTGAATCCAGTCTTGCTTTGCTCCGGTCTTCTTCTTCAACACCTGAAAGGCTAAACGCACACGGTGAGCATGAAAAAACACCTCCACGGCGCCCGCGAAGGGCGAAGGCCCCAAGGGCAGCGCGGTCTTTCGCTCCTTGGCCTTCATGAGCTGGAAGTGCGCCCGGACCTCAACTTGTGCAACGTCCCGAAGCAGATCAAAGCACTGGTTCAAGGCTCCCAACGAAGACCTGAGCAGAAAGTGTGTAGTGGCGTTCTTGGGAGCAGCGCTGCTGGATGGTCGTCGTCAAGCATGTAATCCTCTATCAACACAAGACAGGACAATGAGCACTACAGTCCCGGACTAGTCTGAATTGATTGTTGCTTCTCTCTGGCTTTCTGTTGCGAGAACTTCGCCTCAAAGTGGAGCGCGCAGGGCTCTTCTAAGGCGACGAGGATCTCATTAAACTTTGGCTCCACCTGCGCAGCGAGCCATGTGACAGAAAGCATCGCGCAGAGGGGCACACGGGGGGCCCCACCATCTGGCTGATCTCTTCAGCACTTTGGCGAAGGCTTTCGGCTTCCTCCGCGGTCTGCGGAGCCTTTTCTGACAATCGGATGGCCCACATCCAAATCCTGGAGAAGCTGAGGTGCACACGGATGTACAATCATGTCATGCCTCACTCCATACAGTGTGGCTTCGCTCTCAGCATCGGAATCCTGTGCCGAATTTGAGGAACAAAGTAGTCGCAGCCTCGGCTTGCGAGTTTGAGGCAGGGTTGTGGTGCAAGTGTTTGTAGCCGTGCTACTGTTCAGGAGGCGGTATCCAGCTGCATAGCCACGTTCCTTCAGATGTGCCAATACGTTCGACGGAGGTGTCACGGATGTGATACACATTTGCGCACACTTCTGTGCACATTGCACATGTGGGCCTTCAGGCCCTCCATGACCAAATCTACCTGCCAGCGACAGGAAAAGCAGAAGTAAACACAAGGGACTCAACAAAACCACAGCCCAAGAAGAAAGAGGAAAATGAGCGAGAGAGAGAGAGAGGGAGGCGCCTGCTTGAAGCCAACGCTGTTGGCTCTTGCGATGGCCCACACGTTCCTTGCGCAGCCAGTTTTTGTGCTTTGCCGTTTACTGGCAAGGATTGCGCACCGACTACATGGAGACATGCTCAGCTGCATCAGAGAATCTCCAACAGAATGAGTCGGGGTCGGTGTCTCTCTGCCTGACAGGCTCTGACTGCAAGCTCCACCTCCTGCACAGTGCTTCCACGAAGTAGCTGTGGTCTGCGCGTAGTCCAGAACCCCACGCAAAGTTGACCCGGACTGGCCCATTTCGTGCAACCTCAGTAAGCTGCGAGGAGCAAGTCCACCATGTGAATGACCTGATCAGCATTTTTGAGGCCCGAGCGCCTTCCTGTAGGAGTTCATATACGACAAGTCCTCTCCGCAAACGCAAGACGCGAAGATAGGCGAAGCCATTCCCAGAGCAAAAAGACTCGCTATGCTTCGCTGGATTTCGGCCCACCAGGCACTGGCCTTGCAGCTGAAGCCAGCAACCAGGATGTCCACGTTTGGGATGGGCTGCGGCTTGCTGGACAGCACCTGATGTGCTGTCCCCCCGAGTCTGCATGCCCGTGAATACCCAACGGCGAGCACGAGAGAGAGGGAGAGAGGGCGAGAGAGACAGAGAGAGAGAGAGAGAGACTGAGCGAGAGAGTAAATGTTCTCAATGTTCGAGAAGCCTTCAAAAGTGGTCCTGCATGTTGCCAGTGCTCTAGAGCTGGGCCAAGGACGTCCCAAGCTCGCTTTCGGCCCATCTGCCTATACAATTCGTCTGAGCTTGTGTCTGAACATCAGGCATCCAAGACATGCCGAGGCCACACGCAGTCTTTGAAGAGCAGTGGACACTCCGGGAAGTTGGCTTTCAGAAACTCCTCTTCTCGATGCTTCAGCGCGTGACCACTCAAACTCAGACTACTTGCACTTGGGCAAAAGACCTGCTTCTTGCTGTCGAACTCCACAGAAAAGGCCTCAGGAACCACAGGTACGAGCGAACCACAGATGCAGAGCAAACAAAACCTTTCTGCGCGCTTTCTCTCTCTCTCTCTGACTGTATTTGTGCCTTCGAGCTTAAGGCCGGGCTGTGGTCGAACGGCGTCAAGTGCAACTGCTTTGGGAATTCGGCTTCTCGTGTGTTCGCCATGCTCACTGAGCGACGCCGAGCGCCGAGCGACGACCGAACGACGAGCGACGACCGAGCGACGCCGAGCGATGCCGGGATTAATCTCTTTTCATGTCTTCCCATGCATCTCCTCTTGCCTCCTCCCTATTTCTAGTTCTGTGCTTCTTTCACCACAAAGCGCCTTAAGCAACCATTAACTGTGAGACCTCTGTGCGCAGTAATCAGACCTGCTGCCTGCATGAACGGAAATCCTTGGTTGATTGCCGTCTGCTCGTAATGTGGTTTCAGATCTTCCCCGCTTGCCCGCCCCCCCCCCCTCCCTTCCCTGCCATCCCAAAAAGCCCAACGGCCCAACGGATCCCAAAAAGGCACAGAGACGGGAGAAGCAGTGTCACCGCTCCCCTCACATTGGGTGCCGGGCATGCTGGAAGCCCAGCTGCGATCCGCAAGGGCGGAGAGCGCGCTCCAGAGCCCTCTACAAGTCAAAAGAAGAAGAGCGAGAACTTCCGGCAAGAGGAAAGGAGACTTCCACAGACTCAAGAGGAGAACGCTCGCAGAACAGGAGCACTCTGCTTCTTTGCAAGAGTTTGCGCCTTGCCACCAGCACCGGCGCATCGGTTCCAGAGCACATGGTCCCGATCCGGAGCACCTTCGCACGCTGCAATGGCGTGGGCTGCTATGGGGTGCTGTAACATGACACCTTTATATCAGAGCTGGGTATGACCGTTTCGCCACCCTTGACGCCCGAAATGCCTATGAAGGCTCTAAAACTGCTCACTCCCTATGCAAAATCAGATCTCAAACATTGAACTATGCAAGAACATGTTTTCACACTGATGCCCAGGTCCTGATGCCATTTCCATCCCAAGCGACCGTTTTTTGTAGGCAGGCCTTGAAAGGGAGATTTTCTCGGCCATTTAGTGGTCGGGTTTTTTCAGAGAAGCCTTTGTACTGGGGCGAAGGGTTAAGTACGTTCAATAATAGCAATACTTGTAAAGAGGTCACTGGCCGGGGATCACATCAAAGCAAGATGTATGAGGGGGCATTTGCACCCCCGGTGGTCGGCCTTTTTGCAGAATTTGCAGAAAGATAACAGCTTTCGATTTTCATTCTTTTCCTTGAGAGAACCCAACAATACTGTGCTTCAAAAGCATAAGAATTCTGTATGGTACACCTTGAGGCCTTAAGGGGCCTTGGTACAAAGTGCCAGGCTGAATGTGAGCATATCCGAACCGTCTCAGATGCACAGAGGCATCCGCGATGGGTTTCGGAGGGACCTGCACATAGACGAGAAGGTGCTGATATTACGAAGCTGATATGAACCTACATGTAAAGCATCTCCTTCAAGGGAGCACGTTGACAATGAGAGGAGTCGTGGCGTGGGGGCGAGGAGGGGGGAGGAGCATCTGCAACGGGAATGCTACATCGCTTACTCCGTATTCGCGCGCAAGCGTCTCCCAGTAGCTGTCCTTCATTTTCAAATTCCAGATCGCAGGAGTGGCAAGGCTTCTGGAACCAAGGAGTTCCATGCGCTGTTGATTGCTATGTTGCCAGACCACAAAAACTTGCTCATGAGCTTCAAGACGCTGAAGACAGACAGAAATTGAAGGCGTAGCCCAAGAATTTGCTTGGACTCCTCAATCTTCAATCTCCAATCTTCAATCTTCTTCCTGAGCATGGCCCAAAAAGTCTTCCGATAATCCTCAATCTTCGATTTTCGTCTTGAGTGCGGCCCAAATCTCTTCCGGGATCCATCTCCAATCTTCGATATTCGTCTTGAGCATGGCCCCAAAACGAGTCTTCCATGTTCAATCTTCGGCTTCCGTTTTGAACTCAAGGCGCTCGGGACGTTCACCATGCCAGCAGACGGTTTGGACATGCGCATTTGAAAACATGGATCTTTGGATGCGTCTTCGCCCGTCGCCTCCTCCGACTCTTGCCCCAAAAACTCTCTTGGCGTTTCTTGCCCTAAACCTCTCTTGGTGTTCGATTGGTGCTTGATTGCCGTACGTATGACACATATGAAGTAGACATGCCAGCAAAACAAGATCCAGTGTTTCCCGCGACTTGCCTTGAGGGAACTCTGTGGATTGCTGGGGATGTGGCAAAACATTGCTTGATTCGACTGATCGGCTTCGGCCGACGGGTCGGCCTTCTTCTTCGTCAGCACATCTGGAAGGCCATCCGAGCACTGGAAGCTTTGCAGCTTCTCAAGCCTCAGTTGATTTCAGTTCTTCCATGGGAGCACGCGAGCACGGGAGCACGGGAGCACGCTACTAGCACGCTCCTGCTCCCAAGCATCCAAGCATCCGACATGCAGGACACCATGTCGCCCAGCATGCGTGGAGCATTGGCGCGGCGCTGCTGGAGCTCGAGCAGCCTATTGGCGCAGTCAGCAGTGAGCCACACGCATGCGTGTAGCGGCGTAGCGGAGCCCAAAAGCGCCGCCGTGAGATGCAAGATGAGTCGCTGCTCACCTGGACTCGAACAGCGCGTCGCGCTCCGAGCGGACCGCATCGCGGTCCGAGCGGGCTTTCTCCTCGGCTCTCTTCAAGCTGCTGATCCGGCAGGAGACTTGAAGTCTGAGCAGTCTGAGCACGCTGCCGCGCGAGTCCTGACGCAACAAAGCTCTCAAGCAAGGGGCTGATGTTGCTTGTGAACACGCCCAAACAAACCGCTGCACGGCTAAATCGCCGCGTCCTACATGGTTGAGAGTCTTCGCGAGTCCGAGAGCAGGTAGACCGTATGCGGTCGGACCTTTACAGATGGGAGATGGTGTAAGCCACGGCTATGGTGGCATTTGGCATGGCACAAGAGCCCGGTGCACCTTCCAGTCTCACAGAATCGGCAAAGAGGGCCGAATGCTTGGCCAAGGTGGTGGATCAGGCGGCCTCTTGACAGATACTCGTCGTGGGCTGGAGTGCCACCTGGAGTGCCCTCGACCTTTTTGTCCACTTGAGCCCCTTGCCAGGAAGCGCCTCCTTTGTGATCAAGGTTCCTGTTGCAGCAACATGAGCGTGTTTTTCATGCATTGAGCACTGAAATGTATTGAATTTAGAAAGCGAGCCGGGCGTGCCAACAGCATCCACGTTGTGCTTGCCCGGCTGTTCCTGTCAACTGACCACACCTCTTCTGATTCTGAAAATGTCACAAATGGCACTGAAACATTTCCGAAACCACTTGGCCCTGTGCATCACTGTTTGCCACAGCCAGCTGCAGCTGCTGCCACTCGAACGGACTGGGCAGGCGGAAAGCGCAGAGGTGAACGGTGAACGGTGAACGGTGAACGGTGAACGGTGAACGGTGAACGGTGAACGGTGAACGGTGAACGGTGAACGGCAGCACAGCACAGCCTCGTTGAGTCAGCGCCACTTGCTATGGTGGCACTGGCCAGAACGTTCCCGGCTGCGTCAATGAACCTCTCATGCTTGTGTGAGACTCCGGCCGCCTAGGCCACATGGCAACTACGATAACCCTTTGACCCGAGTTTCGCTGCTCAGGCTGGCACTGCCAGCACATCTCACTTGTCGAGTAGGACACCTTGCAGATCGTGACCCGAGCAGCAACAAAGACCAGCAAGCACTGCAAGCACTGCAAGCACTGCAAGCACTGCAAGCACTGCAAGCACCAGTACCCAGGTGACCTTCACCTGGTCCGCGATGCCGAGGCATGACACCTGCCATTGCAGGCTCCAGCTGCAAGTGAACAAAAAAAACATCATGTGAAGGCGTCAGCATCTCGAGCCTTTGCAAACGACCTTGGAATGTCTCTTTACGAAAAAGGCTCTCTCCTCTCTCACTGTTCACACTTGTTTGTCTCCTCAAATCTACAAAGACAGCTACGACTCCAAAGGCGCGGGCTGCCCATCCGGAACGTAGAGTCCCTGGAGTCGCGGCAGGTCCTCGCTAAGAGAAAGAAAGAGAGAGAGAGAGAGAGAGAGAGAGAAGAGAAAAAGAGAGAGAGAGAGAGCGCGAGCGAGCGAGCGAGCGAGATTAATGCTTGCTGAAAGCTTTGAGAACTCTTTGAAAGCTTTGAGAGAAACGCGAAGAATTTCCGTTGCCTTCTCGACGTCTTCTTTCACAGAGCGTTAGACTCGCAGCCCTGCCGCATCCTGCCGCCTTGATCCTTGATGCGCGGTCCTTGACTTCCAGCTCCCAAAGGTTCTGCCCCTGGCCGGCATACACATCGCAAATATTGAAAGAGCGGTCCAAATGCACCTCCTAGCACTGAGTGCTCGACACGTTCTTGTGTTTTCCAGCACAACTTGACTCAGAACTCATGTAAACCTTTTCGTGGAATGTGGCCATGGCCTTGGCGTGGCCGGCAAGCAAAGCTTCGATGTCCTGCAGTTCACGAAGAGATCGGAGAGTCACTGAACATCGATTTACACGGATGCAAGACTGCTGTCCAACTTGGTCGGTGTGCTCCTTGACCCGTGCTGCAGCTTGCTGCGACAGCCTCATCACCGAGACGTCTCAGGCGGCAAGATCCGTCATTTTTGTTGAGACCCTTCTCTTTGGACTCTTTGTAGACTCTTTGGACTATTTTCAGGCTGCGGGCTTTTGAAGCACCTCCCAGAACTCACAAATTCGTTTTGAACAACAGCCGGTCAGAGGGCAAATGTGAGCAAAGTCGTGCAAATGAGCTGAGCCTGCCGTTCCCTGGCGCAAGCAAGCTCATGCTTGCTGAGGTAAACCTCGCAAAGAGGCCGCCCCCGCAGGGACGCGAGAGGATGCAATTGATGCGGTTGATGCAAGGGGGGCGCAGTTGAACTCTCAAACTTCTCTTCAGAGCTTCCCCTCTCCTAGAACGAGTCGAGGCTGCTTTGTCCAGGCCTTGCCGTCGGGGCTCTTGGCTGTGACCTGGAACACCACTTGTCAAAAGCACGATCTCATGGCCGATTGCTTCAGTTCTGCTCTTGGAGGCCTGGTCTCCAGAGAGCCGGTAGCGGACGGTCACCGTCCAGGTCTCGTCCAAGCCCCAATCCTCCACGATGCGCCTCACACCGTCACGCAAAGACCCCGCGACCTACGATACTCATCTGCAACAAAACACAAACAAAAACTTACAGAACCGTACAGAACCTGCCGAAATCTCCGAATTCTCTCTGTGTGTTGTGGGGTTGCGCCTCCTCTTCTTCTCCCGCACCTCCTCATCCACGTAGACCAGCACGAGGATCACAGCATCCGGACAGATGCCCTGCTCTGGGGAACTGCCACTCAACTAAGCAGCAAAACACCATAAAACACCCCCTTCTCACAGCCTTTCGTTGCATATTTTTTGTTGGGAAACCTATTGAGACTGGCATTTCTCTGAGCATTTCTTCATATTTCTTCTCCCAGAGCCTCTTTGAGCTGCGCCGCGTCGAGTGGAACCACCGAGCCGCTGCCCAGCCGCGCCCCCTGGACGCGCCTTTAATCGAGCAGCAAAGGCATCTCTTTAAGCACTCTGAGCATATACTCACCAACTTTTTCACATCCGGAATTGGGAATTGGGGGGAATTGGGGTGGGGGGCAGAAAAAAGGGGGACCGAAGCCTGGGCCTAACTGCGAACCCTTCTCCTGTGCCACAAAAAGGAACTGCAAAGACTTCTTGCCAAGAGACTCCGGCTTGACAAGAGCTCCAACAAAGCTCTCTGGGGTCCCGGGCCACTCGCCGGCACGGAGTGTGAGCTCACCCCTGGCCACCTCACGAAGAGTCCGAAAAGCGCGGGAGGGACAGAGGGGAACTCAGCGGAACTCTGCGGGAACGCCTCCTGCTTCTGCTGATGCTTGAGGCCCATTGCCTTAACACAGGGCACGCTTGCCGCTCAGCGGCGCGCTTACTGACAGCCCCCTCCATTCGTCACGAACTTCACACGGCCTTGCGCACCTTCAACGGGCTGCTGTTCGCATCCTGGACAGCGGGAGAAGCGAGAGAGGGGGGAAGAGAGGGGGGAAGAGAGGGGGGAAGAGAGGGAGACAGTACGACACACGGCTCGTTGCGCCTCTTCATCTGCCTTGCGCTTGCCATTCTTTTTGGCGCCTCTTCGCCGCACAAGAAGGGCATACAAGGGCATATTTCCGTAAGGCCAGCTGGCACATCGCAGGACCTCGTTTCGCTCCCCCTCTTCTTCGTGCAACATCCTGCGAGCGAAGATTTCCCGAACGCCTTCGAATGCAGCTCCATGCAAGAAAGAAGATTCTAGAAGTTGCAAGAGTGCAGAGTACATTACAGCATGTGTACCCGTGGTTGTAGGCGGTTTGGGGCTTGTTGTTTTCTGGTGGCATGGTCACATGATTCAAACGTCTCCTCCGCGCTGCGAGCGACGATGGGCATGGTGCCCTTTCGGGATGGGCGCCGGCCCTCTGCCTCTGCTCGGCTCAACCTCGCATCTCACCACGTGTCACAACGCTTCGCAACGTCTCACAACGATGGCGCGGGCTCACAGCGTACACCCACTTACAAAACTGAAAACGTGTTGTACATAGCTGTATAACATCTGTATGACACCTGAGTGTATCTGAAGTCTGCCGAGAGGCTCCGTATGCAAGCGCTCTGCAAGCTCGTAGTTTTCCTCGCCAGGCTTCCAAGTCTCTAACATATCAATGGTTCTCGAACGCATACTGATGTAGCACAAGGGTTCCGCGTTCAAGTGTTGGGGTTCAAAAATGGTCAAAGGGTCGAAATACTTGCGGTTGCGTCGCGAAGCCCTCGCAAAGCGCTCCCAAGTGTTTGTGCGTGTCGCGCGTCTCTCGTGCGGCTCTCATCCTTTAGAATGGTGGCCGCTTCGATATGAGACTTATGGAGTCTGTGATCTCATTTCCGCCTTCCGCTCGTGCTGAGCTCCGCAAACCGTGTCGTGCGTCGCGAGCGCTCTGTACAGCGGATTTCGATCCACATATCAGGATTCGGGTTCGCGGCTTTTATCGGGCTTGTGCACAGGATCTCAGACACGTCAGAGTTGGAGTTTCAAAGAACGCCGACCCCCAAACAAGCCTGGGGCTGCCCACAATGGGTCCAAATTTTGCTGCCCACATAGAAGGCGTGAGAAAGGGGAAGCGATGGGAACCAGCTTACTGCTTACAACGATTCATTCTACCGGGCGGACCGGTTCTCATGTCTCAATACGTCAACAGATGTTTGCTCTGCTGGCAACGGAAGCCCCAGCATTTACGGAAACCAGGTTGTCGAGGCTCGGATTTCCCTGGCTGGCAGAGGGGGCAGAGCGGCAGCGGGGTGCATGTTGGGCATGCAGGGTATGCCTGACCGCATGATTCAGACGACAAAGACCAAATAGACTGGACGCGATCTGTGATCCCCGAGCCGATATCTGAGGAAGATCCTCGCATGACGTTGACTCGACATGGACCACTCCTACTGGTGAGCGCAGATGGATGTGAGCGAAGAGAGCTGGTTGAAGATGCGGGTAAGCGTCGCTATGCGGCGACACCTACTCTGCGGGGTGCGTGTGAGAGTCTAACTTGCAAGATCTGTCAAGTGATTTGACTGCTCTAGAAACTCGCCAGTGACGCCATGCACTGAAGGAGAACTAGCGGCTTGGTTTTTCCTGTTTGCGTGCATCTCCCACGGGTTCGTGGCAATGCAACCGGATTTGGTAGGCAGTTCTTGTTTGTGACCCTGAAGTTGGGGAGAGGGGGGGGGGGGCAAATCATGGCAGTCTGCTACGAAACACTGCAATTTTGCCTTAAGTCGCTTGACAGCACTTCTACGCTCCCATCAGATGTGCCTCCCGCACAGCCTTGGCCAACTGTTTGCGGATGCCTGCCTGGAGAAGAAGCTCTCAGATCTCCTTTTGTAAGCCCTCCGGTCACTCTGGTCACAACCCTGAGATTCAGGGGCCCCTGAAACAAGCCCCTTTTCTCTTTGCCCTTCCCCATGGAACGCCTCGCTCTTCTCCTCGTGGGCCTCTGCTGACTTCAGGCTTGGGAAAGACAGCTTTTTCACAACAACTGTTGATAACTTTGGCTGCGTTTGGGGGGTTACCTAACACTTACCGGAAAGTTACTCGGTGGTTGCGCCTCCTTGGCCGAGAGCATCTGCTGGTGCTGGGCCTTCGCCTCCTCCGCCTGCCGCTTGGCCTCCCAAGACAAGGCCACAACAACACCAACTAGCGGACCAAGAAGGGACTGCTTTTCCACAAAAAGAGGCCTTATCAACAGCAACAACCAAAACCGGGGGGAGCTTGTTCAGTTTTGCTGCTTCTTCCGTCTTCTACGTCTCGCGTCAGTTGCCGCCTTGGCCTCCACGGCCTGGAGCGCCGCCTCCTCCAAAACAGCGGGGCGCAAGGAAGCAGGGTCTCTGAGTTCCCTCTACTCGGAAGTGGGAGACAAGCAAGTAGCCTTGCTGTGGTAGAAGTCTCCACCCAAGCCCAGCACCTCTCCAGACAGGGGCAGACAGGGGGAGGAGCCAATGAGAAGAGCCACCCGCGCTTCTTCAAAACTCAAAGAGAGTCTCTCACTCTCTGCCCGCCGGGGGCTCCCACCCAGGAATTGAGAAAGCCTCCGGCCTTGATGAAGCGGCCGTCCCTCCCGAGCTTGACAGCCCAGCCGGCAGGCAGGAGCCACTCGCCCGCCAGCTGCTTCGCCTGGCCCCGGCGGCCCCGGTAAGACCACCCAAAAAGTCGCAACATGTCGCAACATGTCGCAACGCCTCGCTAAAATTTGAAGCGCCTGCTCCACAAGCTGACGGTCCATAAGGGAGTACTTCTTCAAGGCGAGGGTATGGACCTCCAGGACATGAGCTCTCAGCGCTCCCCCTTCTTTATCTTCTTTGCTTTGCTTTTGGGCAGCGATGGCAGCAATGGCAGCGGCCTTCGGCTCCGGAAACCTCCCAAACACAGGACCCAGGAAGGATTCCTACGAGGTAGGCATGAGGCTCCCCTAGCCTCCCCTACCTCTGACTGAACAATCGGAACCCAGAAACGAAACCAAGCGGAAACCGGGAAACAGCTGATTCGGAAACCGGGGAATGGGAGCGTGCTTCCGATGCTCGATTACCCCCCCTCCTCTCTCCCCACCCAGGTTTCTTCTCGTAATGGCTTCTGATGCGCAGCGGCCAGTTTCTGCTTGCTGATTTGCTGTTTCGGATTCGCGCTGGCTTCTGAATGGCAATCGTCGCAATTTCTGATCTGAGGGCGGTGAGACATGAGACGACCCTCGAAAAAACTGACAACAACAATGCAACAAGAATGGTGCCAGTAGTGTCAGCGCGCTGACTGACAAGGCGGTCGCAGCTTGAATGGGACGAGTGGGACACGGATGGAGGTGAATGCGGCATGCGAAGACCGAGAAACTGAGACCAGCACTCGCCATCTTTGTTGGCTGCCCAGAACTCGGCAAACTTCGCGACAGCGGTTGCCCGGTCCTTTTCAGTGCAAGAAACACATTTCTTGACACTTGAAAGCTTGAAAGACTCAAGTCTCATGAGCATATGGCCTTGTGCGACGCACTAGTGTACGTGGACTTCACGATCTTGAGCTGGGCAGGCAAACACAAGTGAAGACAAAGCAGTCGCACATGACCATGCCGGCTGCACATACTTTTCAGCGGCCATCGCATCAGGACTCTTGCCGTGTTCTTCCACCAGCTCCTGGCAGGATCTTCGTTCCGGTCCCGGAGGCTCCGCCGGAAGCTCACCGTAGGGGGCGCAGCAGTTTACACAATCACGCGAAATCATTTCGCGTCATGCGCCCCGGCCGTCCTTCATGGCTTGGAACATGGCATTTGCTTCTTGCTCTCGCTTGATCGGCTTGTCCTCGGCTGTGTGCATATTTCTGTCTCAGAGGTGCACTGTTTTTTCAACTTCTCAGAAGGTCTTCTGGCAACTGAACTGGCCCCTGGGCGGGCCTCTTCGGAGTCCTGCTTGCACTGAAGCTCGAACCTGGGATTCGCGGAATTCGCGGGCTTGCGGGCGCTGCCAAGAATCTGGAGATGAAGCTGCGCAAACAAGCTGCTTGGTCAGGATCCGGGGCCATAGTGCCCACTCCTTGCAAGAGCAACCACCACCCCCCCCCCCTCCCCCAACTGAACAACACCCTGAGACATGCCGGACATGTAGAATGGTGACCTCATCCGTCGCATCAGCAAGCAGGGCAACACTCAGCGCCACCTGGCCCCGATGCCATCCAAAGCGACTCCAGAGCACAGGGACATCCACTAAGTTGCTGGTGAGGCCGGCCGCTGCCCACGAGCATCGACATCCTGTCAACGAACCAACGGGATCGCGCAACGTCAGCTCCTTGTCACTCCCTTCTCTTTCTGCACGGCCTAAGGGAAGGGAATCAACCCCTCGCGTGCGGGGCGCGCGGCCTCTGTACACAGCTTTGTCGGGGTGGCACGTGAGTGCAACGTCTTCTTGTCACTCTCTCCCTTTCTGATTACATGTTCGAAATGCTTGTCAGGGAGTTGATTCGTAAGGGGGTTGTGGGTGCTGCACGGCAGTGCTTGTGGGCGAGCCGCTGCTCCCCCACTGACTCCCCTGCTGTGTCCCCGAAGTCGCGATCGCTGTCGCGATGTCGGGGTGGCCCTTCACATGTGGGATGCGACACAGCTCACACCCTACTTCTGAGGGCGTTGCAAGGACAAACAACACAAGGGGAGCAGTAGGAGCACAGAAGGGGCCCCCCGAGTTGACTTGAAAGCCAGCGCCTACTTCTGAGGGCAGCGCAAGACAACAAACCTAAGAGAAACTCGAAAAGAGAGCCTCGCTGGGACCAATGTGTACGACCCTTATTATGCCCCTCACACGTTCAAGAGGTCGTTGGCACATGGTGTGCTGCAATGGCCAATGGTTGTGGGACTTCGCTGAGAGTGGGCCATCAAGGATCAAGGAGTGGAGGGGCCGCCGGAGCGGCGGGGGTAGCTCGTCTGAGCACTGCCCGGGTGTTTTCTCTGTGCAGGGTGATGCCCAGGGCCTGGTAAAGGCGTTCGGCTTCCTGGCTCGCCCCGTCGCCGCTGCTGGTTGTGTGTTGCTCCGAGGGAGCTTCTTGGATTTGAGAGCCATGTTGGAGCTGCAGCAATCCTGTTTGCCAATTTCGGCCAAGACTTCCAGGCTCCATTAGTCATTCGTCTTCCTCTTCCTTGGTCAAGTCGGCCGAGAGGAAACCCCCCGGCGTGGTGGAATTGCCAGTCTGTCTTGTGCGACTTACGCGAGAGACTGTTCTGCTCGGAGTGAAGAAGTCTTTGAGGGGTTGTTAGCCTGCAAGCCGTATACAAGAGGAGCGATGCACAGCGCATTTACACCATGTCACACCAATCTCGTCATCCCCTCCTGTTGTTGCTTCCTCTCCACACCCCGAACACCCCGAAGCAAGTCGCTTGTTTTACAAGGCTTCCGCAGTCCAAAGGTGTCCTCAAGCAGGTACCCGTCTTCGTCCAGCTTTTCCTGAAGCTCCTCGCACCTCGGCAACGGCTCCATAAAAGCTCCGACTCTGTCCAAAGGCGATGCAAAGCTGTCTTCCTGAAGGCCATGCCAGTTTGTGGTGGCATCCGCCATCAGGAGCTCCAAAGGAACATCCACCTGCCCACATGCGCTCAAAATCCCTCAAGGGCTCTCAAGTTGGACAGTGCGTTCGCCTGCAGATCATCGAAATGCTCCTGCTCCTGGCACGCCAAAAAAAAAACAACACAAACAAACCACCGCATGTCCAGGCTCTCTTTGCCAACTTTGCCCCAAGCCTTGCCCGTCTCTCTTTCGAAGTCCGGAGTGAATGCCGTCTGTAGCTTGTAGGGGTCAATGGAGGACACGTCCTCGCATCGACTGTGAGCCGGACTCCTGCTACCCGTACGGAAGCGTGCAGCTGAGGGTCTGCGAGGTCTTCGAAGCCCCCATTTTCACGGAACTTCCTGGTGCAGATCGCTTGGGAATCTTTGAGGGAATCGCTGCAGGTGTAAAGGTAGGAATGTCATGAGCTGCCTCAGGTACAAGATCGCCGAGTTCAAGTAGCCGTTGCACCTTGCCTGCCACGAACACAAGAAGGGCGCGGAGCCCAACCAAAAATCATCGAAAAGGAAATTCAGGAACACCAACACACGAAAGCGTCAGGTTCCAAGATATTCCTTAAGGGGGGGCATTTCTCTGAGGGCAGGGCATTCTCCGGATCCATCCGGACGAGGCGTTGGAACTCGGGAGTTGCCATGTCCCAGGCCTTCTTCCTGTGGAGCCTCCAAAGCAACTCGGCAATGCTCAGACTCGCGCTTAGAGAGAAGCTTATAGGAGTTACTTGCTCTCTGCCTTCGTCCTGAGATCCTAAGCCTTGGCATGACCTAAGTCCTGAGTGCACACTGTCGATGCTCTCTGAGTCTCTGAGAGCCAAGCTCCATCAGCCGTCTCACGCCGTTCATGTACGGGTAACCCTGTGATGTCAGCAGCTGACGGAAGGGGTCGCACGTTTTCTTTGCGAACCTGCTGGAAAAAGGTCGCCAGCACGCGTGGATACTGTTCCACGTCTTCTTGGGATGCATCTGGGACATCATCGTACCTGACAACCAGGATGCATTAACACATTGCAGGCTGTGCGCTGAAGGTGCAACGGGCTCACGACGACCAGCCAGGCCCTTCTGCCGAACTGAAGAACCGGTCCAGCTCCCTGGCTCAAACGCGCTGCCGTGCACAGCGCACTACAAAACTTCAGTACAGTCTCAGGAAGTTTCTCGACCGGGCGTGTCGTGAATCGCGCAAACGAATGCATGTTGCGCATTGGTTAAATGCCGCACGAGAAGACAGGTAAGTCTAGTGACCCAAATGAACACTACCGGACCTCATCCTAAACCCTACAAGTCTTTTCGAGGTGGCAAACTAGGCTGACACTGGCTGAGTCTGGCACCCATGACCGTCGGGTACACTTGAGGGTTTGGGGGTTCAAGAGTTGTAGGGAGATCGCCACACATAAATTAAGGTTTTGAGTTTTTGTTGTTTTTGGCATGTTGGAAGATTTGGAAAGGCAACGTTTTGGGATGCAACGATAAACACACGATAAAAAATGATTTAAAAAATGATAAAAATGATTGAAAAAAGAAGAATGAACAAATGATAAAAAAAATGATACAAACATGATAAAATGCCGAGGCCTCCTGCAAATTCCTGGATTTCCAGGATTTCCACGCGGCTCCCGACCAGACCCCGACCACGCCATTCCGGCCTCCCAAAAAACATCATTTTTTGTCGTTTTTATTATCATTTTTTATCATCTTCCACATGGTCTGTGCATGGCTGCTGGGCTGATCTATCATTGCTTCTATCTCCGGGCGCTGGGCCTGTGCAACCATCCCCGACCCGATCTTCCCTTCTCCGAGCCCCTTCCCACCCCTCAACGCCGCCAGGCCCCAGACCTGAGCCCTCAGGCATCAGCCTGGGCTTTCCACGTTACATTCGGACTATAAAGTCACGCCTGAAGTGGTGGCATGCATAGCTGGGAAGGACGACTGTGGGCCCACAATGCGGTCACAATGCAACGATAACCAATAGGTACAAAGAATGATAGTTGCAATTATGATGAGAATACGACCGCAGGGCAGACGATAAAGCTGATGATAGAGCAGATGATAAAAAATGATAAAATCATGGATTTCAACATGCACAGTCTGTCCATGCAAGATTGTCATAAACCTAGATCCCAAAACGGTGGCTTTCCAGGCAAGAGCTCAAGACCTACATCCCAAATCGTTACCGTTCCAAATCTTCCAACATTCGACAAGTGCCAGCAACAGCAAAAGCCTACTTCCCAAAACGTTTCCTTCCAAATCTTCTAATATGCCAAACAGCAAAAGCTCAAAATCTTCATCCCAAAGTGTTTCCTTTCCAAATCTTCCAACATGCGAAGAACAGCAAAAGCTCAACATTTACATCCCAAAGCGCAGCCTTTCCACATCTTCCAACACGCCAAAAACAACAAAAACTCAAAACCTACATCCCAAAAGGTTACCTTTCCAAATCTTCCTACATGTCAAATAAAGCAAAAGCTCAAAACCTACATCCCGAAACGTTGTCCAAATCTTTCAACATGCCCAAAAAAAAGCAAAAGCTCTAAGCCTACATCCCAAAACGTTGCCTTGCCAAAAACAGCAAAAGCTCCAAACCTACATACCTTTCCAAATCTTCCTCCATGCCAAAAACAGACAAAGCTCAAAATCCTGCATCCCAAAATGGTGCCTTTCCAGATCTTCTAACATGCCAATGAGGGCACAATGACAGCAAAAGCTCAAAGCCTATATCCCAAAACGGTGCCTTTCCAAATCTTCCAACATGCCAAAACCAGCAAAAGCTCAAAAGCTACATCCCAAAACGGTGAGTTTCCAAATCTTTCCACATGCCAAAGCTCAAAACCTATATCCCAAAACGTTACCTTTCCAAATTTCCAACAAACAAAAAAAGCAAAAGCTCAAAACCTACGTCCCACAACGGTACTTTTCCAAATCTTCCAGTATGCCCGAAACAGCAAAAGCTCAAATCCTACATCCCAAAACATTACCTTTCCAAATCTTCCAACATGCCAACAACGGCAAAAGCTCAAAACCTACATCTCAAAACATTACGTTTGCAAATCTTCCAACATGCCACCAACAGCAAAAGCTCGAAACCTACAACTCAAAACGGTACCTTTCCAAATCTTGCAACATTCCAAATGCACCAAAACAAGCAAAAGCTAAAAGACTACATCAGAAAACGTTACATTTCCAAATCTTCCAACATTCCACAAGTGCCAGAAACAGCAAAAACTCAAAACCTACATCCCAAAACGTCGCTTTTCCAAATCTGCCAGCATTCAAAAACATCGCAAAACGCTGCCTTTCCAGATCTTCTAACATGCCGATAAGGACACAATAACAGCAAAAGCTCAAAACCTTCATCCCAAAACGATGCCTTTCCAAATCTTCCAACATGCAAAAAGCAGCAAAAGCTCAAAACCTACATCCAAAAACGGTGCCTTTCCAAATCTTCAAACATGCCAAAAACAGCAAAAGCTCAAAACCTACATCCCAAAACGTTGCCTTGCCGGACTTCTGTCCTTCGGCAAGTGCCAAGAACAGCAAAAACGCTCCAAACCTACATCCCGAAACGCTACCTTTCCACATCTTCCAACATGCAAAACCAACAAAAACTCAAAACCTACCTCCCAAAATGTTACCTTTCCAAATCTTCCTACATGCCGAATACAGCAAAAGCTCAAAACCAAACGTTGCCTTTCCAAATCTTCCCACATGCCGAAAACAGCACAGCTCAAAACCTACATCCGAAAACGTTGCTTTGCCAAAACACCAAAAGCTCAAAACCTACATCCCAAAATCTTCCTACATGCCAAAGACAGCAAAAGCCCAAACCTACATCCAAAAGCGTTGGCTGCATCCCAAAAACGTTACCTTTCCAAATCTTCCAACATGCGAGAAAAAAACAGCCAAATCCAAAACCTACATTACAAAACGGTGCCTTTCCAAATCTTCCAACATGCCAACAGCAGCAAACGCTCAAAACCTACATCCCAAAACATTACATTTCCAAATCTTCCAACATGCCACCAACAGCAACAGCTCAAAACCTACGTCCCAAAAACATGACCTTCCCAAGTCTTCCAACATTCCAAAAGTGTCAAAACCAGCAAAAGCTAAAAAACTACATCCCAACACGGTACATTTCCAAATCTTCCAAGATTCCACAAGTGCAGTAACAGCAAAAGCTCCAAAGCTACATCCCAAAACGTCGCCTTTTCAAATCCTCCAACATTCGGGAAGTGCCAAAAAACAGCCAAACAGGTCGAAATCTACATCTCAAAAACGTTACCTGTCCAAACCTTCCAACATGCGAACAAATCAGCAACAGGCTCAAAACCTACATCCCAAAACAGTGTCTTTCCGAATCTTCCAACATGTCAAATACAGCGAAAGCTCAAAACCTACACCCCAAAACGTTACCTTTCCAAATCTTCCAACATGCGAGAAACAGCAAAAGCTCAAAGCCTACATCCCAAAACGCTATCTTTCCAACCAACATGCAAAAACAAAAAACAGCAAAAGCTAAAAACCTGCATCCCAAAAACTTTGCCTTTCCAACATGCCAAAAGAAAGGCAAATGCCCAAAACCTATATCTCAAAAGCGTTTCCTTTCCAGATCTTCCAACATGCCAACATGCCAAAACAGCTGGGGCAGAATGTGCTGGGGCAGAATGTGCTGGGGTGTTTCGGGCCCTGCCGTCGGACAAGCAGGCCCCACTCAGGAGGGCATTGGGCCAGTGCAAGGCCGCTCTTGATCATTGCAAGACCCCGCTCCCTAAAGCACTGGGTCTGCACAGAACTTGTCTACGAGGAGTTTGGCATCAAACGCCATCAACCCATCTGCAATGCGGTCTGTGCAAAGACCATCTGGAAATTGAGGCAAAGATGATGAAAGCAAGCAGGTGGCACTTTGTATGCTCAAATCTGATGTGAACAGCAAACCTGCAACAGCGCGTGAGCTTCTCGGATCTTTGAGCACAGCAGTTAGTTTTGCAAACACATCCAGATGTGAGGGCAAATGGTGCTCGATCATGCACAGGTAAGAGATAAACATAGTTTAACGTGCCCTTGAGCCATTGCGCCCAACCCAGCCTTAGCGATGCAGGACCAAGTGGCTGCGATTTCATCCGGAGACCCTGTTAGATCTCCGATCTCGCTCCCTTCCCAATTTTGCAGGAGTTTTTGCAGGAGTGTTTTAAAGGATAGTCCTGATCTGCCCTCAATCTGGAAAAGCACCTCGACAGCAAGCACCAAGCCATATCCAATCTGCTCAATTCGTTGCTACAGTAGTCTTCCTCCCACCAGCAACTCGCCACGGAAGTGTATTGCATTGTAGTTTTTGTAAAGCCATTTGAGGAAAAGGTGCCAGCACAGTTGAACCTTGTGTCAAATAGCTGCCTTCCCTACTTCTGAGCCATTTGAAAGCTAGTTTTCAACCCAAATGCAAGCCGACTGCATCCGGCCTGGTGGAGAGCCGGCCACAGCCCGAGCAAGCCACGTGCTGCTTCAAAGCCGCCCGCAGCAGGGTCTGCGTCGACCCAGCGCCTTCGGTGAAGAGACTTCCGAGAAGCAAAAAAAATCCGAAGTGGCCATCGGCCGTTTGCTGCTCTCAAAGAAAGCATACCACCCTCGACCACCCTCTACACGCTCGAACCCGTCAGCCGAGAGGTCAAAGCTTGCTTGCTAGGCCGCTAGCAGAAATGCCTCTTCGTGCCTCTTCGGTTTTTCCCCAAAAGGGTCGGGGGAGTCGGGGGCCTCCGCCCAAGGCCTCGTAGATTGCCTGGGCATCTTGCGATTCCACCTGTGACGAGTGAACACACCACAGAGGTGAGTGAGAGCGTCCTCCCGCGACAGCCCATGACATTGAGAGCTTAGAAACAAGGCCGAGAGAAGCAGACATTCAGCAAGTCAAGCAGAAGGAGAGAGAGAGAGACAGACAGAGACAGACAGAGACAGACAGAGAGAAAGAGATAGAGAGATAGAGAGGGCGAAAGCGAGAGGAGAGGGAGAGGGAGAGAGGAGGAGGAGAGAGGAGAGAGGAGAGAGGAAGAGAGGAGAGAGGAGAGAGGAGAGAGTGAGAGAGAGGAGAGAGGAGAGAGGAGAGAGGAGAGAGGAGGGGAGGGAGGGAGAGGAGAGAGGGAGAGGAGAGAGAAGGAGAGGAGAGAGAAGGAGAGGAGAGAGGGAGAGGAGAGGAGAAAGAGAGAGTTTGTGCAGCTAGTAGGAAAGGAGACGATTTGCGTCATCAAAAAGCAGGGGGTCACTTGATTGATCGTCCCGCTTCGCAAAGTGCCTTTGGCTTCTCGACCTTGCGCCGCTCCTGTCGTTCCTGGTCGCATTTCGCTCTGCCATCCCACACTATCACGAACACTCATCTATGCTTTGTCTCAATTGTACGCATGCCGCGCTTCTGCCAGCATGAGAGAGAGAAATGAAGACATGCCCCTCCCTCCTCCCCCACCCCCTCCTTCTCCGCCAGCTGGAGTGTCAGCTTCTGCTGCTCCACCTCCTCGGTGTCTTAATGGTATGAGCCGTACAAAGGGGAGAAGAGGCATTGGTAAAACGTTGACGTGTGCAGACCGCACCGGACCCCTGAGTCACATCACACTGGCCTCCCAATGTCGCTCAAACGCTCTCTCTGAGTATGAGTCATTGAATGGTTCACCCGCTCGCCCGCTCGCACTGCTCCATAGGTGCCGGACGGAGCGCCGGCGCCGCTCGTCTTGAAAATCCTGAACGGTTCTTCGTGGTGGAGCCACTGAGCCACATGCTCACAACAAAAACTGTCCAGTTTCGTGATCTGCTGCTGTCCTTGCTGCTCAGCACAGGATGCTCGGAAAACTTGGAGGATTCGGAAAAATGCTTGGTGCCATCTGGAGCCGTCAGAATCACGAGCTCCTTGCCAGCTGTAGCGAGGTTCAAACGATTTGCGATATTCTGCCACGTGGGGCTGGGGACCTCCTTGTGTGCCCGTTGGACAACTCGAACACCCCAAGCTGCCTTGCGTCGACACAAGCTGATGCCACAATACGGGCCTTCCGGGGCTCTGAAGCTCTGCATAACAACATGTAACGACTGCATCTCTTTGCATCTCTTTGCATCTTGGACACCGGGATCATGTGCTCGAGGCGCATGCGCACCTCGGAACATCTCATTTCTTTTTGGGGGGTTCTTTGAGACTTCGGGCTTCTACGCGCTTCTTCCAAAGCTATGCTTATGAGACATTGACCTCCAGCTTCCGCTCTATCCGCACAGGTGCTGCGCACCAGGGGCCTCAAGTCATCTCAAGTCATCTCAAGTCTCAAGTCTGCTTCTCCCCCATCCCAGTACCAAGTTCAGCTTTGGTCCCACGCCATTCTTTCTCTCTGCCCAGAATTTCGCAAACTGCTTCGCGGCTTTATGGTGGGATGTCCTTGCAGATGACCAGCAGACAGACAGCACCCGCAGACAGCAGACAACAAATCATGGCAATGCAAGACGGTGTCACTGCGGTATCACCGCATCGAGACAGCCCGAGCCAGGCACTGTTCAGAAGTCAGATTCACATAGGCCGCCTCCCCATGATCAACAGGAGCGTAAGAACACCCAGAACATAATGTTCTTCGTTGTATCACTAGAGTGGTTATTGCTCGCCTTCTGCGGGAGCCCTACGCCTACGCATCTCTCCCTGCCTTGAATCTTTCGAGGGGCAGGCACCCCGCCCCCCACCCGCTCCTCACCGAACCTGTCCTATCTCTCTTTCATGGGGGGTTCCAGAGGATTCATGCTGGCCCGTTGGCCCATGTCCGCTGGACACTGCTCGGGCTAAGTTGATCCGGTTCGTCTTCGGCCGGTTCGGGGTGCCTTCATTCGCCTGCAAGTTCTCCGACTCCGGTGGAAACTTTCTGGTCTAAACACTTGGTAGTGTGAGAATGCATCACGTGCTGTCTTGAGAATGAAGGCGTGGTGCTGGCTTGAAAGCACTGAGCCAACTGGCTTGACCCCCAAAGCATCCGAGATTAACAAATCAGTCACGCCGCGAAGATTTACCGCGGACTGATCTTGGAGAGAAATCAACCGATCGGTTGGTTTTCTGTCCATCAATCGCGAGCAGCTTCTTCGAAAATATTCCACCTTGAGATACTAGTTACACACCTTAGCCAACTTGAAAGCGTTCCAAATCCCAGCAGTTACCGTGTTCTTGGCTGCACTTGGCTGTAAAGGTTGCACGTGTTAAATTACTGATGTGAGGGCGCGAGGGTTCCCGTGTTCTACATGCAGCACGGTTTCCAAACAAGAAAGCGAGGGGGTTGGGGAGTTGGTTTTGGCTCGTGTGTGGTTGGACAGTTGTGGGCTGTGCGACAAAAACAACCCGCTGCGTCCTAAGCCTAAAACCTGAAAGCACAAGTAGTACAAGTAAGACAGACGCCAGATTGACGCTGAGATTGTGTTTTTGGCGCTGGAGTCAATGGGCTCTCGGAGTCCAACCCTTCTGCCCCGCTGGAGTGCCGGGGCGCTCTGTGGCCTGGGATGCTGGCGTCAGGAGTTGGCGGTCCATTGGCGGTGTGGTACACTGCATGGGTTTGCAGAGCTTGCTGGCCCCTGCAAGTCACGCACTTGCTTACGGAATAGTCAGCACACCCCACCCAACCCTCCATACACCAGCCACATGCCCATCACACCTCCCTCAAGGCCAACAATACTATAAATCGAATACGCCGGGGAGACTCTATCATGAACCACAACACCTCCAAACCCCACAACACCACCACCGCCACCACCGCCACCACGACCACCCCTTCCACATTCTCCCATCAGCATTTGGGCTTTTTTTCGCACAAGCATTGTGAGCGACTTTCTTGGGGAGGAATTGTTTGGGACTAGTGCTTGGTTTTCGTCAGAGCACCATTCAACGAACTGTTGGAGAAGAGATTTCGAAACAAAAGCCCCCGCCCTCGACCCACCCACGCCCCATAGACGGAACTTGAGGTTGGTTGCTTCAATATTGAAAAGCGCGGACTTGCGAAGAAGTATGTGGGACTGACTTGTGAGCCAGCAGAAAAAGCAAGAAAGAACGGAAGGCGCAAGACGAGTTTATTGAAACCCTTATGAATATAGACAGCAACTACAACTACGACTGTATCAAATAACTTTATGGAAATATGTTACGTGAAGATGTCATTGAGCCATTGAGCATATCGGAGCACAAATTGGAAGCCAAGAGTTCAACCCGAACGGCCCCTGGAGCTCAGTCTGGCCCACGAGTCTTGCTGTGTGCGTTGTGTGCGTTGTGTGTGTTGAGCGCGTTGTGCGCGCTCTCTTCGCTCATTCCATTCACTTCTGGCCCCCCCTTTACTACGCGAATGAACTTTGGATATCTCGAAAAACATATTGCATGAATTTACAGACCAACACAGGACTTATATTGTAATCCTAGTGAACGGCACTAGCTCATTGAAGATACAACTTGTTGGCACAGCTTGTTTTTCCACCAAAAACTTTAACAATCATACTTCTTAAAAAACTATACGAGAGGAATCACCCTATAACAAGAAATTTCATAGACATATTACATAGACATATTATGGGGCTGGGTTAAGGTTGGGGGTTGCCTTGGTTCAAGCCAGTTTAAGGTTGAGACGTATAAAGGTGCTTTGATGATTGAGGTCGGGGTACACGGCATAGCCAAAACACCGTGGGTGGATGGGGTTGGGTTGGTTGGTGGGTGGTACCTTAAAATGTGCATCGCTTTTTCCTGGCTGTTTCCTTCCCTAGACGTTTTAAACATGGCTATTAAACCATCTCTTCTTCTGCTTGGTATGAAAGCCGGGGTGCCCCCAAAAACCTCTCTTTTCTTCGTGGGGCTAGAGGGTTGCCCAAGACAAGCCTGCCTGCACCTGAGCCGATAGCACACAGGTCCAGTGTGTGACCCTGACAATGATATCATGCCGAGTGCTACTGGCCCCATCCTCCTTCTGCAGCTCACGGGTGACAAACTAAACGGCTGTCCTCATTTGGCTCGGTCCCCAGGCCATACTGAGATCCCATAACTTGAGGGGTTTAGGGCCTCATTTGGCTTGGCCTGTAGTGTGGTTGGGGCAACCGGGTGAGTCGTTCTCGCACCCATGGCACACAGCACACAACCTAGGGCCCCGCTACCGACACCTAAACATGATGGCCTCATTTCTTATCCGAAGACTACGGCAACGAGCGTAAAGCTTGCGCCTATTCGAACCCCTAAGCCCTCTCTCTCCCCCCTCCGCCTTCGCCATCTCATCGAGCGCCTTCTCATCTTGGGTGAAGAGGTCATGGATGGCCTGGGCGAAGGAATTCAGCTGCACAAGCTGTTGCCCGCCTGAAGTGATTCTGCTCGACCACAACAGAGCTGCCCCTCGCCGCGCTGTGCAGACACCAAACTAGTGCCGGATGCCGCCATGCCCCCCCAAGCAAGTATGCAATGCAGATGAACGAAGCTACACCAAAGCAATGCCATGGAAAGGGTTGGTTTCTCGAGTCTTCACCGGGGAGAAGTCATGCCAACACCTACTACGGCACCTCTGCAAGTCAAAAGGCTCACAACTGAAACGGCACGGCCGTGCCATGTCGTGCTCTTTCGTTCTTTTTTTTGCTGCTTCGCCCCGTGTGCCATTGGAAGTCGGCCCTCACCGGTAGGATTTCTGGAAGCGGGCGCGGGCCGAGCGGCCTGCCAGCGTTTATTGAAGCGCGTCAAGGCAGCACACGCCACGCACACACCACGCACCACTTGTACACGTTCAGTTGCGTGCACCGCGCCTCCGAACTTCTTGGGCTCGCAGCGACGAGGATCGGCAACAATCAACGACCTGTCCTTAGCCGCAGTCCAATGTCCACTCATGTGCACTGTCGACTCAGCTGGCAAGACTAGGTGCAGCAAAGTCACGTAAGCCATCAAGATATCCTTGATCTCTTTCTTAGAGGCCTTTTAGACGTTTCAGCTTTTCACAGACTCTCGGCGACACGCACGTACCAGCAACGATCCGATCGTGATCAGTGACAAGCCATGACACGCCTCATCAATAAACTTCTGGTAATATGCAACGATGCCCTTGGCAACAGCCTCGCAATCACGAGCCAACTGCAACATACTGAAGTGGCCTTCGAAAGCCACAGGAGCGCCTGACGGAGCGCATAGATCTGGCCGGTGAAGCCTCCACCCTTCACCCGCAACCGGATGTCTACCTGGCATACGAAGCACTGCTGGCGCCCAAACTGAACCCAGCACGGAGCCCCAGCAGAAAAGCGAAAGATTTACAAAAATCAAAACAATTGCAAGAGACAGCTGATGAAACAAGCCCTAATCCAGCACGGTGCGCCTTGCTGCAGCGGTCCTTTCCCAACAGCAGCAGCGGCTCGTAGACCTGTCACGTGAGACGCTCCGTGTGAAACCCTGGAACATGCTGGAACATGCTGGGCACAGCGTGGCATACCATCATATCATCATATCATGTCGTTACTAGGCCAGCTGCAACATGTTGCAGCCGACGTGAGACAGGGACAGGAGAATCAGGAGACTCGTGGGGGGAGGGGGGAAGGCTGGAGAAGCTCGGCCCGACAACAAGATGCAAAAAGGGAGCTCGGAGATGTGTTGGGGATGTTTTGGAACCAAGCGCCTCCTCAACCTTTTCTCGCATCTTGCCTCCAAGAAAAGGGGGGGTTTGTTGGTCAGGCTTCCGCCTTTGAGATGTCTCCCCCGCGCCCCACCTCGCTCGTTTTCATCCCACCCTTTTCTCATCTTTTCTTTGTTTGCCCCAGCCACTTCCTTTCCCCCCCTCGGGTCCTTGACGCGCAGGATGTCGGGCTTCACCGTGTGGAGCGGGCATCCGTTGAGGCGCACCTTTGCCCAGACGAGAAATCTGAGCACCTCTCCGATTCTCTCTCCGTTCATCTCAGAGTTCCTCTCCTGTCCTCCCTCCTCCGCTCCTCTTCTTCTTCTTATTCGTCTTCTTCTTCTTCTTCTTCTTCTTCTTCGTCTTCTTCTTCTTCTTCGTCTTCTTCTTCTTCTGCTTCTTCTCCTTTCCCTTCTCGCTTTCCTTCCTTCGTGGGGCATGAGGTCAAGCCCCGGGCGTTCACGCCCAGCCCAGTTCTCGGGGCCACTTTGAGAGAACTTCGAGGGCATCGTCTTGCGGACCAGCTGCAGTCTCTCGCTCTGTCTTTCTTTTCTTGTCTTTATTTTCTTTGTTGTTTCTTGCGTTCTTCGCTCTATTCCTTCCTTCGTCTCTCTCTCAGAGCTGCCTTCTTCGCTCGTCCCCCGCCTGGCCGCTGCCTGAGCGCACAAGCGCCACGGCCACGGCCGTCTTCTTCCGGCCGAAGCACTGGACCTCCCCAAGTCTCCCCCCCGAAATCTCCCAATCTCCGACGGTCCGAGGACGATGCTGCTGCGCGAATAGCTCTGGCCTTCTCGCTCTTTGGGGAAGCCGCGGCGGCTTCGCCCTCCATGACGCCGCCTCGCACGATGCTTTCCATCGCTTCCGAGTCTCTCAAAAATCCAAGAAGCAACAAAAGCAGCCGGGGAGGCTTTGTTGGCCTGGTTGACGGGCTTTTGGGGCTCACTCACGGGGCTGACCGCTGAGCCAAGATGTGGCGGCAGAAACACGTGGGTAGGGGGGGGAGAAGGGGATGAAAGGCTGTGCAAACCTGCCGTGCCCCCGGTTAACGCGTCTCTCTCTTGGGAGAGACTTGTGAGATCTTGTAAGCTCCGAGACTCTGAGAGCGGCACCTGGACCAAGGTTTCAGCTTCTTCCTCTCTCCGTGCATCCGTATCCCACGTGGACATATGATGCCTTCGCTGGGCCTTCACTCGCTGACTGCTCTATGTCCAACCCCGCGTGTCCTGCATCTTTTGGGTCGTCAGCCAGTCTCGGAAGGTTTCCACGACCTCTGCAGGGTGCCCGGCACATCTCGTCGCAGTCGGAGCATCGCGCAGCGCGGTAAGCTAAGGGCTGCGGGAAAGCGATCGATGTCCTCGACGGATGCATCTGGGATGCTGGACAAGGCCTCCATGCCACGGAAAGTCTTTTGGGCTCTTGAGGCTCTTGTTTGAACTCTGCGATGCTTGCTTCATTGGCATCCCTGTGCGCCTTCTTCATTTCCTGTGCCTTTTGCTGCTCCTGGGGAATCTGCATGCCGCCACATGCCGCCCCGTTAAGAGATTCGCTCACTAAAAAGCCGTCCTCGTCCTCCTCCCCATCTCCGCCCTCTGCATCCTCCAGGAAGTTGGCCAAGAGAGATCAATTTTCAGAGAAGTCTGCGCATCGGCCTCGTCCTGATCTTCCTCCTTCTTGCGTCTCTCGACCCTCTGCCTCAGTGCCCACACAGCAGGTCAATCTCTTCAACTCATGGAGACCGGTGGGCAGCCCGGCTCTTTCTCAGGTAAGATTTCTGAATCATCCTGGCAAAATGCTCGCATCTGGCGTGTCTGACCAGAAGGAACGAGCTCAGCTTATCCTCCTTGGTCTTGTCATCACAGAAGCGCAGGGGGAACTTCTCCTGTGCATGACTGCAGGTAGACATAACAACGTGAGGACACCGCCCAGAGTTCCTTGAGAATGCCCCTCGCGAAGTCGAGGCGGTTTGTTGGCTCTGCATCGTCCCCTGTAGCAGCGAACGCCGTGCTGCAACAATGCTGATGCAAAGCAAAAAATTTCTTCGGGGCCTTCTTCCGGCTCTTTTCGCTCAGCACTTCTTGGCTTTGCTTTCTCGCCGACGTCGCCTCTTTCCTTTCCGTGCAGTGATTCGCTGATGAGAGCGGCGCAAGAGGCCACATCATGAGCCAAAAAGTGCCTTAGAAATTTGTGGGGGGGGGTTGTCAGCCCTACACTCCTCTAAATCATCCTCTAACATGCCTTGAAGCATCTGCCTTATCCATGAGTCGAGACACTGGCACCGGACAACCTATGTCGTCGCAGCGCTGCAGCAGCACCTTATGCAGCTCCTTCGCCTTGCCACAGGACAGATACTTGTAGCCCAGGCTTGTACACGTCTTCAGGATTTGTTCACATGCTCATCAGCATGAAATGAAAGAACATTTAGTGGCTCAGCAGAGCCCAGATTCACAGAGCTCACGCAAGGTCCTTTGCGTAGTCATGCAGCTTGACGGCGGCTTGAATGTCATTGCGAAGGGCCATGAGCTCCTTCCTCGACCTACAGCAGCGCCAAACCGATGAAACACTGCAGAGGCCGAAAAACCAAAGAAGATGCACTCAAGCTTAAGTTCACTTCGTCGCTGCCTCGCTGAATGTGACTCTCCGCGCATACTCAGCCCTGCGCCTTGCAGGTGGGGCGTGCTTCTCCGGAGTGACCTGCGAGGCATGTAAAAGCGCGCTGTCAAGAGAGACTCTCCCCCATAACCAGACTGCAACAATCAGACATGCTTTGAGCGGTGTCTGCTGTTCTCTACGCGTCCTCGGCGGCCGGGACGCCCTTTGAAGGAGGACTGGACATGCCCTGCACGTCCCTTTGCACCTCTTCCCGCGCCACACCTGGGAACATGGCTCCACTTTCTACATCACTCCAAGTTAAGTTGCTCATCCGCTACTTTTCTCGCCTCCGCGCTGTGGGGTCGCGACACCAGGGTTGACCGAAGGCTGGGGAGCCTGAGGAGGATCAGGGAAGCGTCGCTCCCATCATTCTGTGTGTGCATCGTGCTTTTGCATCCCATTCTACATGCTGGCACATCATCGGCACAGAAAATCCAGGGCTTTCTGCCAAAGAGACGATTGCCCGAAGCTACCCGCATGCTGATACTTCTGGAGCTTGAAACGTGGACTCGCTCAACATCCCGCATGCTCCCCTTCGCCCAAACCCTTGTCGCCCGCAAGCCCGACCGGCTCTTCTCGCCCCACACCCAATGACCCTCCTCTGCACCTGGAGCCTGGCGGCATCTGGCGGTGTTTACGGGGTCGGCGGAAGCGGCGTTCGTGTTTGGAGTACACTGTACAAGCTTCTGAACATGCCCGAACAAACCAGGGCACGGCTACACGACACTGTTGAGAGTCCTACGCTTACGCCCCACACTTACGCCCCACACGAGAATGCGTCAACCACGACATCAGAAAGCAAAGAGAGAGGGAGAGGGGCACGAAGATGAGCAAAAATCGCCCGCACACGCAGGGGTCCTTGGAAGCCGCCTTGGCCTTTGGGAGCCGCTTGGTAAACTTCAACTGTTTTGCCTTGACCTGACCAAAGCAACCCCGCGTATTCTCTGCAGCATGGACATGCCATGTATCCAGTTGTATCCATAGCCCGTAGCCTTCTCCTCACTTCCATTCACGCTCGCTGCGCTCGCTGCGCTCGCTGCGCTCGCTTTGCTTTTGGCATCCTCCTCGTGCTTCCGCTTCACTGCGAAGTGCTTCAGGAGGCTGCACCCTGCGGCCGGCACAGACCTTGGCGATCACAAGCCCCCAGAGAGTCAACACAAAAAACACAAAAAACACTAAGCACTCAAGCCTTTCCGGCTTGCCACGGTTGCCACGTGTATTCGACGCGACACGTGGAACACAGAGCCCAGCGCTTCTTCTGCCAACGACGAAAGTCCGTCCTGGTGTTGGACATGATTTACTATATACCACTATTGACTCTCGGCCGTTTGCATCAGCTGGGTGCCTGAAGCGCTCGTCGCACGTCGCCGCTTTGGCCTGTCCAGAAAGATACCGCAACAATATGCCCCTTCAGCAACTGTCGTCGGCTTCTCTCCAGCATTCTGCAGCATGCTGCAGCATGCTGCAGCATGGTCGGGCGTTTTCTTGGCGCGGCATCTCGTCCGAGAGCTGCTCAGGCGACGAAGCAACGCAACCTTCGGAACGCATCGGCATGCAACATCCCATGCACACGTGATACTGCGGACAAGCCTCGAGCTGCAGAGCGTTATACAGTGACTGAAGCAGCAATTCTGAGCGAGCATGGAAGCGACAGAATCCGACAGAAGGGAAGAGCCTTAATACTCTTAAGACAGAAGGGGGCACCAAGGGGGGGCACCCATGCAGCACCCACGGGCACGGCTGGCCTGAGGTAGGCCTTGCCCGGAGCATCGCTTTGCCACGACGCTGACACGAGGACTCGGCTCCGATGGCTTCCTCCACTCGCCTCCCCCAATCTGTTTTTTACAAAAACCGGGGCAAACACACACACACACACACACTCTCTCACAAACACCCGTCCGCCGGAGAGAGATTTTGAAGAGGAAGAAAAGAGATGCGTGGGGGCCTCGGAGTTCCGCTCGTCCACGGACCAGAGCCGGTCGGCCGCGACGACGGCGCGCAGGGCGCTCATGGTCCGTTCGGGACCGGCCACGTGGATCACGGCCTCCCCGGCTTGTTGGATGCGGCCCAAGATGGCGCCGCCCAGCTGCCCGACGTTGGTGTTGCGGCCAACCAGCAGAGGGACTTGCTTAGGAATGGGCCTGTTCGCCACGAGCTGAAAGTGAGTGCGCAGGGCGGTCACCTCCATGGCACCTTCGCGGAGCGCCCTCCCATGTGGCTTCTTCGTGACCCAATCCAAAGCCATGGCCACAATCTGGCCGTCGAAGTCCAAGGTCATGGCTGTGGCGCATGCTTTGACGATGACGCTGGCTGCCTTCACACCCAAGCTGTCGGTTGCCAGGCCCTGCGCTGCCTCTCGCACCACATGATCCGCAAGGCTCTTCATGTCCGTCTCTGATCGGACATTGTACACCTTCCCAGTGTACTCCTCCAGCTCCGACAACGCTGGAAGCGTTTGACCCGACGTGGCCTTTCTCTGAATGGCTTTTCTCGCAAGAGGCGTCTGCAACACCCATGCCCGCTGCCAGGCCCCGAACAGGCAGAGGCCACCCAAAAAGGCAGAAACGCGCGCAGGCCCTCGCAGGACCATGGCAAGCGACGGAGGTCTCCCCGTGAGTGCGTGTGAGTGGTAGCAGTGTAGCTTCGATTCGCTTCATCTCCGCTGTCATGCTGGCGGTGCCCAACTTTTTCTCTTGCACGTGGTGTCTTGCACGTGGTCTTGCAATGTCTTGCAGCTTGCAATTACGCTTCTGATGTTTTTGTGGGAATGTGGCATGTTTGGACACCGTAATCGCCACAATCTGTTCTCTCTTGAGATGCCTGCAGGAACCAGCATCTACAGTACTGGGTTTACGGCATGGCGACACATGACACCCGCAGCTCCGACCTCCCACGGCAGGGAGAGACCTCCTCGACTCTCCACAAAGTCCTGAAAGTCAAAGGTCTTGGCTGCATGCTCTTCTCAACAGCAATAATTTGTCCAAGTCACGCGAAACTTCTTCAACCCTGCGCCGACAATGTTGTTGCGCTTCTGGTTCTCCTGCGACTGGCTGCGAATGGCTGTGGTGCAACAGAAAGGATTGTTGCAACAAGCTGGCTCTCTCTCTTTTTGGTTGACGCCAAGCCTTGGTCTTTTTCACAAGCTCCAGAAACTCCTTGGTATCTGCACACACGCAGCGCAGATGTCGAAGGGCGAAAACTCCAGAGACACACACACACACACACCCTCGCTCGCTCCCTCGCACGCCCGCTCTCCCGCTCTCTCGCTCACCCACCCCTGCAATTGCATCTAGCTGAACTCTGGAAAACACGCATGAAGTCATAACTGCACGAACCCGAGAATGACATGTCACGGCAGGTGCCATGGTTCATGGGAAATCGAGCGTGTGGGCAACGGAAGACGCTCCAACGCCAAAATACCAAAGGGCGAAAAGACCGACGTGGATGAGGATGGTAGGGCGCTCGGAGTCAACGACCACGGATCAAGGCCATCAGTGAACAGAACGTCTCTGGTCGGACAATCAAAGCAAGCGAACCACCGTTGACAGCTCCGGCTGAACCCTCCGCTCACCCCACAACAGACGCACGCGCTCGGGATGTTTCTGGAAGTCTTCCTTGGATGGTCTTTAGGCCCTTGAAAGGCAGGCCGGCATCTTGGGTCCCCTCTGAGCCTGGCTTCCCGGCCTTGGGCCCTCAGCCACACTCCTAGATTCCTTGCCCACATCCAGTAGCAGAGAGGCGAGGAAAACGCAAACAAGCAAACAGCACACTGAGTAAACACAAACAGATGCACGGGCAGGGCACAGGCTGGCCTGCGCTATCATAGCTTGCAGGTCGAGCTGGAAACGCTCCATGAGCATCTTGACCTGGGGAAAGGGAATGCATGAATGCATGAATGCATGAAAAGAAAACAGTGCTGCCACGAAGAGTTGCCGCAACTTGCAACTTCAAGTGACCGGTAAGCCCGGCAAGCTCCCGGCATTCTGCACGTAACTCACAGCAGACTTGCTCGTGCTGCCCGCCATCATCCAGGCGAAAAACCTCTCAGAAACGCAGTCAGAAAGGATCTTAAGTGAAGGATCTTAAGTGAAGGATCTTGATCAGATTTGCAGACTCTGTGGCTGCTCAGTGATGTCTGAGCACCCCGAGTCAAAAGCACCGGGCAGCTGACGATGCCAGTACATCGCTGTACTGTTCCTCGGCGGGGGAAGTGAAAAAAGCAGATTACTGAGGGATTCCTCGGCGCAAAGCAGATGCGAGAGGCGCCTGCCTTCTGCTCGCTTGTTGCTTTGGCAAAGTTCGCAAAAGCTTCATCATCCTGAGGGCCATGTTCTGCTGTTGCAACAGCCACTCAGATGGTACTCCCGAGCGACCGGCTTCTAAACTCAGGTCCTCGGGGGGGAGCCATGCGAAGCCACCACAAAGAGATCTAGTTTCCGAGCTCAGCTTGCAGCCGTGGATGCCATCCTTCGCTTGAGCTCCTGAGCGACGGGGGTGAAGCAGTGAAGCACTTCAACTGCCAGCACCTCCAAAACACCACAACTGCTTGCTGCTGAGGCGCCTCTTCACGTCGGCTTCTCATCTCCAACCTTTCCTTGGAAAACCGCCCTGGTCGAGCTCTCGTCTTTGGCTGACACCTGAGCTTGCCCAGGAAGCCCGCATCCTGGGACGCCTTCTTTTCGCCGTCCATTTCGTGTCCTCAAGGAGGGAGAAAGCCCTTCATTGTTGTGCGTTCTGTGCGTTTTGCTGCAAGGAATTGGGAAGGACTGTCGCCCTCTGGGCTGAGGAGGCCACGCAGCCCTCTCAAGCCCCCCAAGGCTCGGACAGGACTGCTATACGGCTACGCTGGCAGCTGTGCAATGTGTGGGCGCAGTCGCGAGTTCAGACCAGACATGTAGTGAGTGCAAGCACACGAGTAGCAGTTTTGGCACGGCTGTGATGGCAGGGGCTGTGGGGCTCATCAACACGAAGAAACAGTCGAGATTTCATCTCGCAGGTGAAAGTAAGAGAAAAGATGTGCCAGCCGGCAGCTTCGACAACAGTTCGAAGTCTCTACGAGGCAGCGGATGCAACGACACCCAGCTGCGAGAGGAAGCTACGACCGCTGCATGCGGATGGCCTCGCAAAACTTTCCGGGGTATCCACAGCAGATTGATCTCCACACAGATAGCATCCCAACTGAAGGCATACCGTGTACTCAAGGCTTGCATTCCGGCCTCCAGTATGTCCGCTTCCAAGCCTGGTGTTCGACTCTCTGTGGGGTCAAGCTGAGCATATGCCCCGACGTGTGTTACCTCACCCGCTTGCCCCACTTGCATTGGTTCCTTAGCGGAAACCCATCTCTTCCGAAAGAGCAAGTGGGGCAAGTGGGGCAAGTGGGGCAACTTCAATTAGATTACGAGGTCCAAGCACACAAAAAGAACCCCAAAAACCTCATTGGGTTGAGGGTTTGGGGCTGACGTTCCTTATGAACATGCCCATGTGTTACCTCAACAACACCTTACGGGCGCATTATGGTGCATTCAAGCAGCTCGGGAAATCATGCTTGTTGCGCAACTTTCTCCTGCACATGTTGAATCGTTGAACTGTCTAAAGTCTCGGATCTTGCCGCTGATGATTCTGCAGATGCAGCGGCCTGGATGAGACGCAGTAGACGCGATCCACGCTGTACTCGGAAGAGAAGTAGGTCTGAAGCAAAGTGCAAAGCGCCGCAAAGTGGCGCAGATGCAACAGATGCGGTGCCTGGAACGCTTGAGTATGCTTATGTACGCTTGGAGTTCCTCTCAAGTTCCTGCCTTGATGCAATTGATGGTTTCCTGAGTGACCTTTTTGCGATCCTCTTTCGGCAACTCACCTTAAAGACACAGCGGCATCAGTCCAGTCATCGGACATCTAGGACATATGACTCGGCGCGAAATCACTCAGATCTCAACACTCCTCCTCGTCGTCATCTCCTGCCCAGCGCAGGCGGAGCGGAGCTAGGGAGATCGAAGCTAACACATTGAGGGTGTTCGACGTTGTAAACGTTTTCTTGGGGGAATGTGCAAGCGAGCATGTGCGAGCATCCCGATTCGGAAGACTTAAAGTGTGAGATCGCTTCTCGTCTCGGTGCCTTGGCCCTAACCTGCTACACGAGCGTACGCGAGCGCAGCACAGGCAGCGAAAGGAGGGCAACTTTGGCTGTTACGTATGTTTACATGTGCACTCCAAGCCCAGACATGAAAACAGGCCCAGAACGGCTGAACGTCGATAGCGATCAACGGGCATTGAAGAATCTCCCTAAACCCTGAAACTATGTCTGGTCCCCTTTGCGCCGCGTTGACCCCTCCGCACAGGGAAGTAGAGCATGTGGCCTTCGAGCGCTTCCTCCTCGCGAAGGATCTCGGATGCGATGTCGATGTCCACCTTGTTCCTGACCGACCCCACCCGGCCCCCTCCCCCTCTCCCCCTCTCCTCCCCCTCTCCCCCTAAACCCCCCCGAGCCCCCACTCACATGCCCGGGCCTTACCATGAAGTAGGGAACCTGTCTCATCACTCTGACCGCAGGATTCAACAACAGCGAAAGGGACCCAAAGTCATCGTTCAAGCAAAAAGAGACAGCGGCCTCAAACTTTCGAAGCTCTTCCTCGCGACAAAAAAAACGGACTGGCATGTGTTGCATCATTGCAGCACCTGCGTAAGTGGCTTCTGAGGCCATGTCTGCCAACATAAGCTCGGCTTCCGTGAATCGTGAGGATGTTATCAGTAGCACGACATCCTGGCGAGCAATACTAAAACTCGCCCCGCAGACCGCAGAGGGCTTCGAGGGAGCCCGAGCGCAGGCGCGTGCTCCGCGTACCGCGGAGCATCGCAGGAAACAACATGGCTGCGAGGCGAAGTAGCGAATCCCCATGCCTGGGCTTCTGCGCGGGCGCGGAAGGGGAATCGATTGCTCCGCTCCCGGCCGCTTTGAGCGCGCGCTTTGCGCTCACACTGGCAAAGCTGAGCTCCCAGCGTCTCAAATAGGTCGCCTGCTGGAACAAGACCGGAATATGGACATTCTGGACTGGAAAAAGCTGATGGCGCACGAGCCGAACAAGGCACAAGAGCATCTCTTATACTCTCATCACATGAGAAGTGCCCTCAAATGCCCTCCCTTTTATTTCGCCAAAAGAGGCTTTCTGGCATACTCCCAACGGCCCGCATCAATGCACTGAGCATGATCACGGCAGTAAGCCATATTGCATGTTAAGCCGCTGCATCTGGCCATCTGCACATGGTCAATCTCCTGTCTAGGAGAGACCCTGTGCCGACAGCTAGGGTTTCAATGGCATTCTCAAATAAGCTCGCTGCTTCCTTTGCCTTATGACTCAAACGTGAACCACACGTGGGGGCACGTGGCCACCATCCCCACCATCCCCACCATCCCTCTCTTTAAAGCAGGAGGGTATCGGGTGCGTCTCTCCAAGAACTTGGGCAGAGGACGCGTTGACGCCCTGGCAGACTTTGTACTGGAGCCTGTCCTTCCTTCCCTTCCAGTTGATCACCCTCACGGAGTCGAAGGTAATATTCTGCATTAAGTAGTCGGGGCTTGACAAGATTACTCCAGGCTGGAGCTTTGGGTTGTCAAGGGTGATGTTGCGCAGGAGGATGTTCTTGTAGATCCCCCTCTCTGCCGGCTTGCAAGTGGCTCCCGGAATCTCCGGCCACAGCAAGGAGCAGGGATGGCCTTGCCAGAACTTCCGAGAGTCCGACTGCTGCGCTGGGCCGATCCAGATTCCCCATTGCTCCGGCTCTTTGATGTAGATGTTCTCATAGGTGACGTCTTGGACTAAGGAGACCTGGCCCTCCGCGATCTCACGGAATTTCATGTAGATACCTTTGAAGGTCCGGTCCATGTAAACGTTCCGGAAGGTGAGGTTCGTCACTTTGTCGTTGCCCCCTTGGGAGCCGATCGTGAGCCCGAGGCCACTCGCCTCCACGTCTTCAATCAAGACATTGCTGGAGGAGCCCTTCACCGTGAAGCAGTCGTCCTGGCTCCAAACCCTGCTGTGGTGGATCCAGATGTTCCTGCCCGACACGTCCCAGCCGTCCTGAGAGGACACTTTTCATCCTCCTTTTTTCCAAACAACAAAGAATATTTAGGGGACTCTTCGATAGCTCTAGTCCATGACTTTTCTTTGAAGAGAGAGAGAGAGAGAGACAGACAGAGAGAGAGAGAGAGAGCGCGCGACTGGACTATGGAGGGAGAAGGCTGAGAAGGTGCAATGAGCGCCGAACAGGACTTTCGAGTGCCAAGGCGCAGTGTTGAAGGCTCCCAAGTTGAAGAGGTCGTGACCTTCGTAATCCGATCTTCTGTTCATGATGTCGGAATACCTGATTTCCAAACCATCCACCCCACTGAACCATGAAGTCCAATAGGGTGAGTTCGTCAATAGAAGCCGCTCCACAAGAACGCCCTGCAGCTGCGACATCTCGAGGAGGCGTGGCCGGTTCTCCTGAATCCTCAGATACTCCATGTAGCCCCACCAGGCCTTGCCCTGGCCATCCAAGGTGCCTCTGCCGGACGAAGTCAGGGTCACATTTGCCACGTGCTCAAAGCGTAGGCAGCTCAGCACACCTCCATCCGGGTGTCTCGGCCAGCTCTTCTTTCGAGCGGAAAAAATCAAGGACCCGTCGATTTGGATGACCACATCTCGCAAACCCTTACCTTGAATGCCTCCCATGAGGTGAAAGGTCTTGTTGGGGATCAGGAGTCGGTCCCCAGGCTGCAATGAGCCCAGGGTCTTGTTCAACAGCCTCCCGTTCGACCATTCCGCAAGCTCAGAGGCATCGTCGGCCTTGGCACCAAGGGCTTCAAAGTCCGCCACTTTCCCGGCCTCCGCACACGCCACACACGCCGTTGCGGCACACGCCAGAAGGAATGGCGCCCACGCTTTGGGTGCTGCACGTGGCATTCTCTGGTAACTCTTGGGTGTGCGAGTATGTCTTGCCGAAAGCCGCAACGGCTTCGGAAAGCTTCACGTGAAGTTGACTGCAGCTGCCGTGCGCCCACATGCATCCGCACACCGTTGCATCGGCCCACCTGAGGAAAGTTCGGCCTCGCGGCGGCAATCAAACTACCAAGAATAAAGCGGGCCCTTTGTGAGACTTATACTTATTCGGGAGGGAGGGAGACGCAAGAACAAAGACACACGAAGGCAAACACAAGCACAGACAACGCAATGACTTGTTTTGAACATCGAAATGCTCCAGGGTTGGCATTCCAAGAACTTCTCTGTGGGTGCACTCCATGGATACTTTGTGGGATTGTTTGTCACTGCTAATTAGGCACTGTGGGCACATGCTGAGAATGCTCAGCACACTGTTCAGACCAGCGTCGGAACGACCTTGTCCTGAACCCGGCACCTTACCCCCCCCCCCCTGCAAAAGCATTGCAAAAACAACAAGGCTTGTGGGCCCCGATCTAAAAATGTGCCCGGAAAACTGGCGTTGTTTCTTTGCATCTCGTGGTCACGCACCATGAGCAGCCTTATCACTTGAACCGGATGAGTCAATCCGAGAGCCTGTGCCTTCGCGGATTGGGCAATGCAATGAGTGGGCATGCAAACCAGCACCGTTAGCTGTTTTCTGCCGCTTGCCCTGCTTGCCCCGCTTGCTCTGGTCCCTTCGCGCGAAACCATATTGCCAACTTGCCCCACTTGCCCGACTTGCTCCACTTCTCCCCACTTGCCCGACTGCCCCACTTGGTCTGTGTTAACCGCTATGCGATCTACCACTTGCCCACTTGCCCCACTTCTTGCCCCACTTCTTCAGCGGGACCTTGCTGCGAAAAAACACAGTAGCTTGCATCCCTCACGAACCGAACCATGAGAACTTGCAAGCACTCCGAGGCTACACGTAACAGGTACGTCGAGTTGCTCTGATTCGAGAGCGATCCCAGAATCATATGACACACTCCCAGCGAGTCCCCGCGACTGCCCACCTTTTCACGCTTTGGCTGTTTCTCTTTGATCCTGCAGACGCCCTGTGGGGAGGGCACAACTTCACACGAACTGCAAGTCTTGGCATGGGAGAGTACATGCTGCAGAGACGTGTTGCCTAACCGCAGAAAGCATGAAAAAAGAGTCGCTCAAACACGAAGAGACAGACACGCAGAGACAGACATGCGAGAGAGAAAGAGAATAGAGGAAACTTCAACGCCAGGAGGAGGACCAAAGAAGCGCAGCATATCCAAGGGACGGCTTCTGGGAACCCAGCGTACCGACACCAGGAAGATCCCAGATCACAACATCCAAGGCCGTGCCCACTACGTGCTTCACGTCGATGTCCAGCACCTTGCAGCATATTGCAAGCATCTTGCAACTTGATTGTGTTGCAAGCGTTGCAACATCCCGCAAGACGCTGAGGCAGCGCGGGACATTCGGAAGGCCCCATTGTTCAGGGCCCGCGCTGGACCAGCATCAAGACGCACCTCGAAAAGAAGCACATCGCCCGGTCACTGCATCATCTCAGGACAGGGCCTGCCTGAACAGTTTCGTCACAGACTTTTAGCACTTCGGCGCACGACCCTTCGGCCTGACCTTTGCCACAACAGCTCAGAGATCTTGTTCACTGACATCACAATGTTCACAGACCAGCATGCAGAATGCGGGGCCCTTACCCGGAACTTGTCCAAGCACAACGCGCACCTCGGGCATCACCACAAGGCCGCAACTACACAACGCGAAGGTAACATACTACTTCGAGGAGCTCTACGCAACGTCATATGTGACAGCGTCACTTTGACAAACTTGATGAGGTCCGAACTCCCGCACTCAATTCTTCGTCATCTGCAGTCAGTTGGAAGAACAGTGAGACAATGAGAGAAAAGAGAAGAAATGACACACACGCGCACACACACACACATACATTGACACACTCGTGACTGTCCTGGCCTCGAAGCTGTCGATAAAATCGTTGATTGAAAATGCCTTCGCTGGCTGAAAAGCTGTACATAGTCGGCTCCATCCTTGGTTCCGTGCTTCTGCGGAAAAGGGCCCCTGTGGGCACGTGGCATTTTGTACGTCCTTGTAAAACGCAGCTGTTGCTGGTCGAGTCGCGTCGTCTCCTTGACTCCGGTCGCTGCTGCGTTTGCATCGCTGTCCCGGAGCCTCTACAGGAGCACATTGCGAGTACGAGTGCGAATGGGTGCTGCTTGCATATTGGCACTTGGCTCAACCCCCTATCATCAAGACGATGACTGGTGAGCCTTCGGAACGCATTAACCAAGGATGACTTGCCAACACCGGACGCCCCAGTGATTGCCATCATGATTTTCCCACCTGGCTTGCGGCTGCTACCTTCGCCACTTCCACAAATTCTCACAAGGAAGCGTGGAATCTTGGTCCGATGCTGCTGGCGGCCTCCTTGCAAGATGAAGCGTCTTTGGTGCCGACATGGTGCCTCTCCGCCCCCAGCCCCTCCCCTCCCCTCTGCGTGTATGCTCCTCCAAATAGCCCGGGATGGGATATTGATCTTGATCATCTTGGGCCGCCTCCTTTCACGGCTGAAATCGAACCCCATTGGCACGGGAGCTGACCTGCTGCCCAGATTCTAACTCTGCTTGTACCTCAAAACAAGGAAGGTGCGAGGACAAGAGGACAACTCAGCTCGGTTGGGCCCCTGGCATTGGAGAGGCGTCGAAGAGCCTCCAAAAAATCCAAAAAAGACAGGAAAGTGCAAGAGCAGTTGTAGAGGGGCGGAAATGCACCAGTTCCCCTGCCTTTTGGAGCCGTGTTCGAGTCCCGCCCTTGCCTTCCAGGTCCTCCTTTCTGGCCGCCTTCTCTCAGAACACAATGGAACATATGGAGGGCTACACCGTATGAGCGCAACGCGCTCTGCAGGGCTCTCTGCTTCTCTCTGAATGGGAACCATGACTTTCGCGAACCGGCTGCGCTGTGGTCACCAGATGTTGCGAGAACATTCGCAAAAAACATGATCTAATTCAAAAGATCACCCAGTGCAGCCCCGACGCCTCTAACTCCGCACGCAACCTTTGCGTCTCCTGCAGGGTCGGGGGGGGCGGGGGGGAAGTGGGGGAGAGGCATGCTGGGAATGTCAAGATGTCAAGATGTCAAGACAATGTAAGCTGGCTGATTTCTTGTGAGCACTCCCAGCTGCTTGGAAGAGATCCTGCACCAAGCGCTCCGACGGTCCAGGCGCGCTCTTCGGCCGAGTCAGAGCCCCCACCAGAGCCTGATCCGAACCCGGAAAAGCAAGGAGCCGTGAAAAACCACAACACTTGTGTTGCACAAGAACAACACGCAGAGCAAATGAGAGCAACGAGGTTCTCTCTGAGCCAAGGAGCAACACCTCCAAGAATTGCCTGAGAGAGAGGGAGAGGAAAGAGAGGGAGAGATGGGCGGAACAAAAAAGGCGAATATCTGGATCTGAACCGTCGGAGCTCGATTTCTTCCTGAAGCTCAGAGGAGTACGGCTTCTGCCACTCCACGTCGTAGCACCTGCCGAGCAGGTGACGAGGTGTGAGACGTCTCCGCACCCCCCTCTGACACAAAATAAGGAAGCCTTGCCTATCCCCCTCTTGCGGCCTTTGGGGGGGGAGACTCCTTTTTTCAAAACAGAGACGCGAGCGGCCCGCTCTCGTTTCCGGCGCCGCTCCAGACCTCCGAGAGCCCACAATCCGAGAGAGCACTCTCCAATCACGTCTTTAAGAGCTTTTTCAAATGCCAAGATGAGGGGGAAGCTTCCGAAGGCAGACTGGGGGCAGAGGAGGGGAGGGCACGTGTCTGCGTTTTGCTTGTGCTTGTGCTTCAAGTTCTCCCAGTCTCTTGGGTCACAGCCGCTGGCAACGAAGGAGTGCCTCTGAGATCTCAGTCCTTCACACACAGAGTGTGCAAAGCAGCCGACATTGAGCCAGATCTTCTTGCCTGGAGGCTGCCCACATTTGGCCATGGTGCTCGGCCTTGAATTGGGGACACATGACATGCGTGGCGACTGCTTTGTGTATTGATGGCTTTGTATCCCTTTTCGGGCTCGAGCCGCACCATTGGCACCATGCATCTGCTCCACTCGGTGCCAACCACGGCGAGCCAGCCCACCTCTGCTCGGTGTTTCCGCTCTCATTGAACCCGTCTCTCAGCTGAGGCGAAAGACCGATGCAAAGCATCTTCTGCTGCTGCAAGCCTCCGCGCAAGCGCCCCCCCCCCAAGAAAAAACACATAAAGACATCATGACAATGAGAGTCACAATTCACAATAAAAATGACAAAAAGAACGAACAAACTTGTCTCGCTTTTCTCTCACCAGTTCGGAGATCGGGGGTACTTTCGGCACATCCCCTGACGAAAACTGAAACCAATTGAAGCAACGAGTCTGCCAGAGTCTGCCAGAAAGACGACGTGTTGAAGAGAATGTTGGTAGATGTTGGCAGGGCTTGCCGGCGTTGCAACCGTCCCCCCTCTGCGAACCCCCCCCCCCCCCCCCGGTGCCCGCTTATGCGAAGTCGCGCAGCCTGCGAAAACCATTGAAAGCACGCAGAGCGGCAAAGAATCGGCTTGCCTTGCTCACTGAGTCGGTGTCGCCCTCGCGACACAGAACTCGAGGTCCTCAGCCAGGACGTGAGACACAACACAGGTGCACGGATGTATCGCTTGCAACAAGCAATTAAACACTCCAACACTGGATGCAGCACCGGCACGAAGAAATGATTGCATGTTGATGGCACAGGCGTGTCACGGCATTGACAACACGCGGCCAAGAAATATCACAAACAGTTAAGCTTGAGAAGGTTGCTCCAAATCTCCGTTGCACATTTCTCACTGTGGCCTGCTTCAGCATCACGCCAAACGATGTCTCCACTGCGTTTTAGTTGTTTATCCCCTTTTCCCTTTTCGGGTTTGCAGCCACCTATCGCCTTAGAGATCTTTCGTGACCACCAGGTTCTTGTTCAGTATGAAGCCATGCTTTCATGTACCTTGCACTGAGCCTGACCGCTGGAGAAATAGGAGAGAAAGATAGAGGGAGACAAAGAGAGAGCAACAAAAAGTGAGACTGACAGAGAGAAAGAGAGAGAGAGAGAGAGAGAGAGAGAAAGAGAAGCGTGAGAAGGAGACAGGGCGTGGTGACGATTTGCAAGCTCTAGAGCGGACAAGGTCTTTCATAACTTCATGATGCGCATCCCGCGTGCATGCGCGCCATGAGGACCATTTGATGTTCAGAAGCAGGGAGGGGGCGAGGGGGAAAGGGAGTGGAGGGAGGGGAGGGAGGGGGGAGGGGAGGGAGGGGGCGGGGGGAGGGGGGAGGGAGGGGGGGAGGGGGGAGGGGGGAGGGGGAGGGGGTAGGGTGTGGAGGGGAGGGAGGGGGGAGGGGGGGAGGGGAGGGGGGGGGGGGGGGGGCGGGGGCAGGGGGAGGGGGAGGGGGGGAGGGGGAAGGGGGGAGGGGGGGGGGGAGGGGGGGAGGGGGGGGGTAGGGGGGAGGGGGGAGGGGGGAGGGGGAGGGGGGAGGGGGAGGGGGGGGAGGGGGTGGGGGGAGGGGGGGGGGGAGGGGGGAGGGGGGAAGGGGGGACGGGGGGAGGGGGGAGGGGGGAGGGTGGAGAGGGGGGAGGGGGGAGAGGCGGAGGGGGAGGGGGGAGGGGGGAGAGGGGGAGAGGGGGGGGAGGGAGGAGGGGGAGGAGGGGGAGGGAGGGGGGAGGGAGGGGGGGGGGAAAGAAAGGGAGGGAAGGGGGGGGAGGAGGGGGGAATGGGGGGAGGGAGGGGGGGGGGGGGGGGGGCAGTTCTACTTGCCGCAAGCCAGGAGTGCAGGCACAACCCTAGGATGCGACGGTTCTTTTCCGTGCTCCTGCACGAGTCAAAAGAGTTCCAGGAAACAACAAGCTTTGCAGACATCACATCTTAATGCGCGGCCATACTTAGAAAGCTCATTGAACACACCGTTCCAAGTTAGATTAGCGCAAGTGAAATGGCAAAGCATGTGCACGTTTGCACGCGACTTCCTTGGGAAGTGCGACATGTCTACTCAAAGCGGCTGACATTGCCAGCTGCCCAAGAATGCCACGATCTGGATCACGGCTAAGGATCCGAAATCACCCATTCGGTGATGAGGGCGGTGATTTGCCGCATGTGGCTACACAACTCAACCGACTCAACCCAGCCCATCTCAGATGTTGACTGACACGTGGTCACTGTCCTCAGTCTAGCAGTCTAGCAGTCCTACATCCCTCGCAGCTCTGAACTAGAGCTCGGAGATGCTCGCAGACGCCTGGCAGACGCCGAGACACGCCCTGCTGTGGCGTCCAGCGGTGTGCCGTGCTGCTGAAGATTGTCTGCCGCAAGCCACCGGGCCTTAGATGAACATTACATGAAGAGGTGCTGATGGCATCATATGGCCTTTCCTGCACATTCGCATCATTCGCATCGTCTTAAGCTAGCGGCTGGTGACGCCGATTCATCGACTGCGATCCCTGCGAGAACTTGCGAAGCATATGCCCGGTGGCACACCCGTGCCACAACACAAAAAGGTTGCAGCGCAGCGCCTTGCCAGCAAAGATCTCTTCCATGTCGTCCCTTATCATCTGGCGATACCTTGACACAACTTCCGCTGAACAGCAAAGCGCGTAAGCAACGCCAAGAACGCAGCGAAGGCGCTGAACAGTGAACCACTTCCTGAAGTCTACCATGTCTTTGACAGTGGCAGTGTTCGAGCCGCGGAATTGCAAAATTACCTTCGACAGAACAGGGAGGCTCTCAAAAAAGAGGTTCGAATGAATGGCTCCGCAAGCGCCATGTTTTGTGTTTTTGCTCTTTCTCTCTCTCTTTCCGAGAAAGAGAGAGAGAGAGAGAGAGAGATCTCTTTCTCTCTGTCTCTCTCTCTCTCTCTCTCTCCGTCTGCCGCGTGCGCACCTCCATGAACTCTGAAAATGAGAGCTCCTCAACTTCGTCCTGTTCGCACAGTGGGAGTTTCAAGTGAAGCTCATGTTAACTGGGCGGCTTCTTCTTCCCCCCCGGCCGCCCCGGCAGACGGCCTCGGTGTCGCCGGAAGCCTCCTGAAAGATGATGTCGGCAAAGTCGATCCTCGAGCAGAGCAGTCTGACACGGAATCCTTGTTCCTCGTTCTTTGTGAGCCTCCGCTCCTCCGCTCCTCCCTCTTAACCCCCTCCGAAGAGGAGGCCGCCCAGTGGGCGTGCCGTCACCGAGTCAGTCTTTCTCTCCATTTCTTCCTCGTCTTCTTCTTGTGTTGTTCTTCTTCTTAATATTATGCTTATTCTTCTTGTTCTGCTCGTTCTGACTCTCTCCACATTCCTTTATTGTTGTATTTCTACATTTCTGTATTTCTGCATTTCGTTAATTCTTTACTTCTGCATTTCTTTGTTTCTGTGTTTCTTTCTTTCTTTCTTTATTTCTTTATTCCTTTATTTCTGTATTTCTTTATTCCTTTATTTCTGTCTGTATTTCTTTCTTTCTGTCTTTCTTTCTTTCTGTGTTTCTTTCGTTCGTTCGTTCTTTCTTTTCTTTCTTTCTTCAGTTCATTCTTTCTTTGCTCCTGTCTCTCTGTCTCTCTTCCCTGGGGCGTGGGCAGATCCGCGGGCGTTCGCGCCCGCCGGCATTCGGGCTGCATCAGAACACTATTGAAGACCCCACTCCCAGAAGTCACACAACCCTAACTGGCTGCCTAGCACCACGTCTGCAGCGTTTCCTCTCGCTCTCTCCGTCTCTTCTGCCTGTGGATAGGTGGGATAGTTTGGTTTGTTTGATTGTGTGCATGGACTTACAGGTTGGTGTCACCACCGTTTTCGTAGCCATGCTAGATTCCCGCTGCTCCTGTCATTTTGGGGGCTGTTGGCACCGGAACAAGTCTTTGTAGTACCATGGCAGTTCTCCCTAGTGGTTTTGGTTACGTGCCAATGTGAGCCACGTGAAGGTCCTGGGAACGACCATGCTGTAGTATCCATGTATCTGCCGGCTTGTCGAATTTCTGCGAGCTCTCCCTCATTGTCGCCCTGCTGCTTAGGGTGCTACAGAATGTACTCAAAGCCCCAATACCAAGATGCGCAACCGGACAGGGCAGACACGGCTCTCGAGCAGGACCGGTGCGTGACTCAAGCCGGGTTTGGGCTCTCTGCCTCTCTCTCTCTCTCCCTCCCTCTCCCTCTCTCGCCCTTGGGAGTGTCCCAGTGTCCCCTCTCTCTCACCTCAGATGCAAAGCTTCACGATAATGTTGTACTCTTTACTTCCGAGCCGCAAGGTCAGCATGTCAACGCCCAGCTCCTCAGATCAAGAAAGGAAAGCAAGCAAAAACGACGAAGTTCCTGCGCCAATTCTTTGCACTTGCAAAGCAGTGCAACTCATAGGAGGAATTTTGACCTGCCACACTCATCTATAATTGCGCTCGTATACGTGCAAAAATCATGTTGAACATCGGCTCCATTGCAACTGTGTGCTGCTCTTCACAAAAGAGCCAAACGCCCTGCAGTGGCCCCTTTCTGCCCCCTTTCTGTCCCCTTTCTGTCCCCTTTCTGCCCCCTTTCTGCCCCTTTCGGCCGAGCTGTGTCCCGCCTTGAGGGCTTTGACGGCCTGCTTGTCGCGAGCGATCTTGAAGAACTCGCTCTTCTGGAGCCTCCCATCCGTATTGGCATCCGAGCCTCAGCAGCACAGCGGGAACGCTGCTGGGGGGAGCGCCACAGCAAAGAGCCAGGGCTTTGTGCCGGCGAGCCGCGTCCCATGACGCGCAGCAGGGTGTCTTTGACAAAAGTAATCTGGATGGCCTCCTTTTCGGCAGCTGCCACGGCCGTGATGACCTTCCAAATCACCCATCTCCCCTTTTTGTCTGTCCTTTCTTTGTAAAACTCCCTGTTTGAAATCGCTGTCGATTTGGTGGACATCTCTAACCTTAACGGAGCCATCTTGCTCCGAGCAGCTTCGCAGATCACCCCGATGAGCATGTTGGCGATGGTAATCGCTGACAAGATCTTGGCAGGGGGCTAGGAAATGTAAACTTGATCGCACAAAGTGTTACTCCAGTTCTCTTGCACTCATTGGTCCGTTTATCAGATTCTTCCGGCAAAACCTGAAACCATCGCTGCCCCCTCAGAAAGGTCATTCTAACAAGCTGGGGGGAGGGGCTCCCATGGGCTCCCTATGCAAGACTCTTGGGGGTGGCTTTGGATGGCATGTGCTGGCTGAGGCTCCAGAAAGGAATAGAGGAGGGCCAGAGCCACCCACTGGCGTTCCAACATGAAGAGTTGGACCCTCAGCTTCACAGGGGCTTCACAGGGGGGCCCCTTGACACAAGCTTAAACTGGCTCTGGCTCTGCCTAGTGGGGGAGGGCCTCTCTCAACACGAAAAGGGACAAACGCTGAACACAGGGCAAAGGCTGAAAACTTCTCCAAGGCTGCAAGGAAGAACCCCCCCCCACCCGAAAGAATCATTTTGCTTCGAATCTCCCCACCCTCTCTTAGCCTCTCTTGTTAGAGATACTCTAGGGTTGGCTCCAGGGACACTCTGGGGCTGGGCACTCTGGGACGCTCTGGGGTTGGGCACGAGAAATAACTCCAGGGAGACGGACACTCTGCGGTTGGGCTCCAGGGAGACTCTGGGGTTGGGCACTCCGTGGCAACAGGGACACTCTAGAGTTGGGCACTCCAGGGACATGTGGGGTTGGGCACTCCAGGGATGAGCGAGGAGTAGACCGGGCGAGGAGAAGAGTTCCGGGCGAGGAGAAGAGTTGAGTCTAAAATCTAACAACCCCACACCGAGGGTGGGGAAAAAGGAAGAGCATGGAAGGACACTCTGCGACTGCTCCACCGGCTCCACCCTTCCACCCTTTTTTGTTGTCCTTCTGCGGGCGCGCAACAGCTCGGAGATGGAGTCCAGGAGCGTGCAGTGCAAGAAGAGCATCTGCATCGACAGGAGCACTCCTCACAAGAGGCCAAGATGCCAAGGGGCAGCGTGGAATTCGGAAACCTATGGAATTCCCCGCCGTGTGCAGTGTGAGAGACAAGGCAACGCATGCAACATCAAACAACACTCTCGCGGGGGGGGGGGGGCGCCTGAGAAGTTGTCGGCTCCAAGGTCGCTGCCTACAGAGAAGTGTGAGACTATTTTTGAGACTGGCAGAGCGCGCGCCCTCAGACCGAGCTCTCACAGAGCCTACACGGGAGACTTCTAAGTCGAGTGCCTTTGAGCAGCTGGGTGAATCCAATTCCGAACACATAGAGCACGATGACCAGCAGAATCAACGTGAAGCCGACGGAGCGCATCGCAGCGGCGATGGCCTCTGGATTGGATCATGTTTTTTGATATTTTGCGGAGAACTAGCGGAGAAGGTGAAGGGGTGCGCCGCTGCGCCTTCACCAAGATCAACAGCTCAGGCACCATTCTCCTGAGCCCCCAACACCGATATGCGCAGAACCGAGCTCTTTCACAGGCGTCTTTACGAAATGAGAACCGAGGCCAGGCACAGCAAGCGGGCCATGCGGAGGAGTCGCGTCAGCCGCATCAGCCTCCCCCAGTCAGAATCAAGCATTGGGCTGAGTCAGAAAAACTGGCGAAAAACGCTCAGCGACATGCGGAAAGAACACAAACTCGTAAACAGCCTTGCTTCGTCTGCTCTTCTTTGAAAAAGGGTCAAGGGGGAAAGGCGGGGAGGGAAGGGGTCGGGGTGCGAGCCACGGATCTAAACATCCCCTAACCCGAAAACTCCTGAACCCGAAAGACCCTAAAACACTAAACCCCCCGAAACCCAGACACCACAATGCAGAGATGAGGAAGGTTGAGTCTGGGGTCTGTTTTGGCAGGCGAGCTTTTGATTCCGGCTTCTGCATCTCTGACTTTGGTTTCGCCATGTTTCGCCGGTTGTCTGACATAGCTTTCTGACTCGGAGGCTTCTTCCCAAGTCGACCCTCACTCTGAGCTGCTATGCAACTTCGAATCTACGCACCTGGCGAGCCGCAGGACGTTTGCATTGGCCAGGATACCTAGTGCTCAGCTTCTCAGCTCCGCATGTCACTGTTGCGTTAGCCAAGATGCCGTCGGTGTCCCCTCCACCCGTTCCCGTGGCCAGCAGAACCACAGTCATCACCCAATTCTCCTGCAAAACAGCGAAGGCAGTCCCAAAGCCCCGAAAGCCTTCCGCTGCCGAAACAGAAGCGCAGTGAAGCGCACCACCCGCCCACTCATGGCCATCGATATCTCGCTACCATCTTACAGCCCGGCTGTACTGCACCTCCAGCAGCCCTTGCATGTGTTCGGACACAAACACCAACAACATCCAACGACCCACGAACTCCCGAACTCGCTCGAACGCTCCCCCTTCCCTGCCAATGTTTGGCTCCCCCTTCCCTGCGCCGATGACGCTTTTAAGTCATCTCGCTCTTTAGAAAGTCATATGCTCTGTAACTACGACAGCGACTCTCTGAAACCGAGAGGATGTCTGAGGACCTGGCCAGGACCATCATTAGCACCAAGGTGAAGTCGAACATGAACCAGGCATCTCTCAAGCAGTTCCGCTTCTCTTCGAAGGCCAGGAACCGAATTACCTATGACTCAGAGGCGGCCAAGCCCCCGGCAAAGCATGTACAAAAGCCCCTCACAAATTGCAGACTTTTCTTCATCTTTTTGCTTTGCCCGAGGGAGGCGCCAGCTCTCCAAGGAAGTACGTGCAGAAAACCTGTTCGACGGCGAAGAAGACGGGCGGGGCTTCGGTGATGACATCCTTGGCGCCAACGCGAAGCGGCGAAGCGCATCTGCCACGTGAAAGCAACTCAAAGGCAGCTTACAGCAGATGATGGCAAGTGAACGCCGATGAGAATGAAGCAATACCTTTATGGGTCCGTGTGCGATGAGAACACCAACGCCGACAAGGATGTCGAAACCAGCATACATATTCGCCAGAACTGGTTGGCTGCTTAGGAAAACGTGTTTTTTCCATGTCTGCGCATCAACGCCTTCAGATGTACAGAAAAAACTAAAGAACGGTTGTCCCGAAAGCATTATGGAGCCACGATGAAACCCTCACTAATTTATGAACTGATAATCACGCAATATATGCAAAATTCATCACATCATCCATTCATGCATCATCCATCACAACATCCATTCACGCAGCAACGACAACGAAGAGAGTCTTGTCGAAGACCACCTCCGTTGAAAACTCCTCGCCACGTCTTCGTTGAAAAAACTTCGCTGAGAATCCGCGGAGAAAAGGTTTCGCGGAAAACAAAACAAACAAGCTCGGACCCCAAGGACAAGCGTGTTGAATAGCGGGGATGACCTGTTGGTTTGAGTGCCCTGAACCTAAAACCCTAAGCCCTATACACCCTGAGGTACATGGGCTTTATTGCCACAGAGCAAGGCCACATGAAACGATGAGCAGCAAGCCAATGTGCGAGGCCTCCCTTTCATGATCACAATTGATCACACGTGCGTCAGCCTCCCAGCAGACACGCTACCGCTTTGTATCATGGGGCTATGGGGGGTCATGGGGCCTTCGGTCGTCGTCTTCGTCTGGTGCGCAAGCCTGAGCGAAATTCAGCCAGCCTTCACCTTCCAATAGATAGAGCTGAAGTCAGACTCCCTCTGCGTCGACACAGAGGGTTGGCGTTCACGCGATCGCGACACCCCGCGCACACGCAGAGGGTCGTCGTTTTGCGTCTGGACAACGCAAAAACACGCAGAGGGTTAGCGTTCACGCCATCACGACACGCCGGGACCGCGCAGAGGGTCGTCGTTTTTGCGTCTCAACAACGCAAAAAACGCAGAGGGTTGGCGTTCACGCACCATTTCTAACCAGGTGCGGCGGCTCCCGCCAACCCTCCCCCGTGCTTTAACACTTAATGTTAAGAGGAAAACCCACGAAATCCATCACGCAATCCATCCAGGCATCATCCATCACGCCATCCATCGCGCCATCCGAATAGAACGACGACATAAAATCATTTCATGGAAAACCACCTCCGCTGAAAAACCCTCCGCCATATGCTTTCGGGAACTATACAGGTACATATAGGTACATGCTCCGCCCCTGGGACTGACGGCCGAAGCGGCGAGCAGCGAGCTGAGCAGCGTTGACACAAACATTGAGGGAAAAAGTGGGGGGCTTTTGCTCTTCTAAGGCTCTGCGTTGTTCAGGTCGGTGTCGATGGCCATCCAAATCGCGTATATGCCAATGATAACCATAGTAATGTTCTCAAACCTGAAGGAAGCTTGAGTTTCACTTGTAGAAAGGTGCAACGTAAGTTTAGCAAGCTACGGCCAAGGTCCTGTCGCATGATACCCCTGGCTCCCCTGTTTGCCCTCTTTGATCCCGAGATGCCATTGGCTCCGGGCAATGCGCTGAGCAAGCCCCGTCTGCTTGTACAAGTTCTTCACGTCGTAGCCTGGGCACGTGCCACATCATGCCGCATCAACTCATATCATGTCCCTCTCAAGTAGAAGGATCCCCAACAAAGGTCCAGGAATACGATTCTTTTTCGGCCGCGAGATGTGCTGTACGTTTCGTAGACTGGTACTGGCATGACGCGGCGGCCTTCCTCTCCGACATTTTTATTTTGAGTACCGTGAAGCTCCCTTCACTCCGGTTGCTTCGGAATTGGGGGGGTTGGGTTTCTTCTTGTTGTTTGAGGGGTCGAGGGGTTGGTGCCTTGGCACTGGTTCACCCTTCCGTTGTGCTGACTGAGCCAGGAACCTCGGCCGTCCTTCATGAGCTGCTCGCGAACCGCCTGTGAGATGGCTCCATGGCTCCATTGCCCCACGAATGTATTTAGCATTATTTAGCATTCCTGGTTTGTGTTCTTTTCGGCATGCTTCATGTCAGCCGAGTTCTGAAAGACGGCCTGAGCTGGACATCGACACTGCTCACAAGATACTCACTCCGCTCAGCGGCCTGTGCCATGCCCTTCTTGCCACCATCCGCCTGCAGTGCCAGTTCTAGTTCTGTGGCCCGGATCGTGTCACCCCCCAGCGGACCTCCGTCTGGTGCGTTTGCGTCTCCTCAATGGAAACCTCCAGAATTCCTCAGCAATGGCCAAATGCTGGCCTTCTTTTGCACGCGCATCCACTTGCAGAGTCTCCTGAAAGCTCTGGCACCACTGAGTGACATAGTCCTTCCTCGAACTTTGGTGGATCCTGCTCGCGCTATGCTCATCGCTCATCGGAGAAGCCCTGAGAAGCCCCGAGAAGTCCACGGCCTTGGACTTGCTTCGAACTTTCTGTGGCTCCTGACAACCAAAGCGCTCCAGTTGATGGGAGGAGCATGCGTTATGTTGACGGGCCCATCAAGACCCTGTCATGGCAGGGGCCTTCCAAGATTAATGCCCGCAGCTGGTCGCTTGCATGATGCGTTAAGTGAGTGGCGGAAGTCATCAGACTCATCAGAGGTCCTTCTGTATCGGCAGCCTTTCCTGGCCCAAGCAGCCCAAAGCAGAAGGCTTTTGCTGATTTCTGGTGTAGAATTGTGGAGTCCATCTGCAAAAACCGTCCTGGAAAACCTCATCCTGCGCGTCCACAAGAAAGCTCGGCGAGCTCGGCACCTGCACCTCACAGCGCAAGGCAGCCCCAATCTCTCCGTGTGCGCTCATATTTTTTGTCTTCTTGAAGTCTGCTTCCTGCTGTGTCCAGCCCCAACCAGGCCCCTCGAGCCACTCCCGACCCTGCTGTGAACATAACCACAAGCCTTGTTGGCACTGTGGTCCGCTTTGAGGCGAAGATTCTCGGCCTGTCTTCACATGACTTGTCAGCAGGCCTGTTGAGGAATCTGACGAAGCGCTGCATGTGTGCTGAACCCTAAACATGCTGAGAAAAGTGACACTGAGGAGACGGCGATAAGCCTCTCGTGCTCCTCCACCACATGTGCCACCTTTCCGCAGACGCAACGTTTGGAGTGTTGATTGCAACTTGACTCAAAGCTGCTACACGAGGAACGAGATGGACCGAACGAGCCAGCGCGCGCCTGTGCTAGGAAGGGCCTGAGGCACGTCGACGAGAAAGCGGCTGGATTCATCGACCTCTGCAAACACCCAACCCACTGGCAACTGCACCTGCACCTGCACATTGCAACAGCAACAGCTCTGGCAACCAGCTGCCTGAAGCTACCGTCCATCGCTCAAGATTAACCATGGGGAATTCAGTTAAGGCAAATGCGAGGTGTTTACGACCGCTGGGAAGCTCGGCGTTCTCTGTTATCTCAGTTAGCTCATCAAGCAGAATCTTGAACAGCAAAACCGCATGCGTGTGCAACACATTGAGCCTAAGGAGCTGCGCAGAAATACTTTCAGACACCGCCGCTGCCAGCTCCCGCACCTGCCCCTTCCCAGACTCCCCGCCGTTTCTTGAGCCGCCCGATGTGTTGCAGCTGTCTTCTGGGCCTCGAGATGCTACTTCACTGCTTCTGATTCTGTTCACGCACCCTTTTTTTCTCCGAGATAGCGAAACCTGCACCGAGTCAATGAGAAGGCACCGTCGGAGGCTCAGGTCTCAGCTGATGCTGAGCCTGTCTGCCGAACGGACCGAAGGGTCAGCAGTACCTAATTGGAGCTTTCTTTGCAGGAGCAACTACGCGAAAACCTCACATGACCAAGTCATGCATAGCACATAACGGAAGACTCAAAACTTGAAGAGCTTCAGACAACACAGTACACGCAAAACCATCTTGCGGCTATTGTGCACAGGAGTGCACAAGTACCTCACCTCTTCAAGTTTCGTCCGGCTGCGGTCATCGGAGCGCTCTCTTAAACCCACATTGTGCCTTGCACTGAGGCTCACTTTGCGACGTTTTTGCAGTCATGGAGGCGGAGCCTCTTCAGAGTGCAGACTCCCATGGCAAGACCCCGAATCACGCTGAAATAAGGTCAACCACAGCACATCACACGGTAACTCAGACGAATCCGTCCTATGAGTGCGGACGCTATTTCGAGAGGGGGCCCAATGGCAGCTTGAACGAACTGAACCGATACACCATTGAAAAGCTCAAATCGTCTTCGCATGCAGGCATTCGTTTCTTGAGTATCACGATTGGTTCAGCAGGACATGATGTTGGAAGTGGATTTGTGCCGGCAGAACATAGATGGGCGTGCATTCGCTTCAAGAAATGAAATTCATCGCCTAGTCATTTAGACATTTCCATCTCGCACGCCGCAGCAAACGTTTGTTCGAAGTTGTCGCTGGCGGAAACGACTACTGTACATCTGGCACAGAGCTCGGATTCACATGTAAGGGTCGTGAAGTCAATAAGCCTAACGTTAAAGCTGAAAATTCAGCCGCACAGCAGGCATATACCCCATTATACTAAGACAGCAACTTTGTGGCTCTTCGGCTCGTCTTCGTCGCGGCCTGAAACAAAGCCCGAAAAACTTCAAATCCCGTGAGTTCGACCGCATGGCTTCCCTGTACGCCCGGGCTTCACGCACGCAGGCACGCGGTCTCTGTACTTTCTTGCCTCGTCCAAGCAGCGTGACTCTCGGTGAATGAGTTCGTCTGGGCCAGCAGCGCACAACCCAGTGATCAGAAGACGCGAAGCCGCACGCGATTTGCTTGAGGCTGATGAGGATGAATTTAGGGTGTAATGAGTCAGCGGCACGTCTTCGAAGATTGCAAGGATGCAGCATGAAGCGAGGCCCAAAGCTTTGTGTCGGCACGTACAACCCTAAAGAAGGCAAGGGGACCGGAGGGGGAAAGGAACAAACGTGGCAACGTTGAGGCATCTTGTCAGTGTGAGGTCCTGCAAAAGACTCAAGCGAACTTCCCTTCCGGAAAACGGCCTCGTTTGCGACCCACGCGTTCGCAACCAGGAATTCTACATTCACGAAACACCATTGACGCGCGTGCTGCAGATCCCAGCGCAGCGGCTGCTTGAGGCTGCAGAGAGCCTCCGCTGTGCGTTTTGAAGGATCCGAAGGAAGATCTCTGGCCCCAGGTCAGCCCTCCTGAATGCATCATCTGATGGGAAACGGCGGCAACCCTGCAAAATCCTCAGAGGTATTCGACACGCTGAGCTTCCAACAGCGGTTTTGCTGACTTCATGATTCGGGGCCCTGCCTGCCAAAAAACTCTCACGAGTCCACTCTGTAACACGAAAAGTAAAAATCAATCTCCACACATATCTTCAACATGCCGCAACATTGCTTCAACCGGCGGCTCAGAGCCTTGCACTGGGTCCACCGCCGGCACCACGGCGTTCCCTCTCCTGGCAAGTTTCGCCTTCCCTCAATGGTAGACACAAAGCAGCTCAGGCCAAACGGGTCAAGCGGCTGCAAAATCTTTGGAGGTGCGGTGATGCGCACGGCCTGACATGGCCCCCGATCTTTGAAGAAAAGGGGGGGGGGGAGGAGCTCTCCGTTTCTGAGAGCGCTTCTTCGTGCTGTTGAGACACGCAAAACCCCCCCAATTCTCAGGAAGCTGCTGGCTTGGAAATCGGCGGATCATCGGCTTCAGGATCTCAGGCGCCAATGCATTGCTTAAGGAGTGACAGGCAGAAGTCTCAAAAGTCCGGGAGTTACAAAACAGCTGAAACACGGAATCGCTTTCTCGGACCTCATTGCCACACAGCTCTCTCTCTCTCTCTCTCGGATGGCCTTGGCCTGTTGTCCGTCCATGATGCAAGTAACTTGCCCCTGCTAGCCTTCGCTTCCTAGGTTTCAGAAAAAAACTCCTAGCGGTTTCTCCGGGGCTGTGCATCGTCGGCCTCGGGCCTTCGCGGATTTGTCAGTTGGATGCTTGACGGCGACACTCCTTGTAGCTCCTTCTCATGCTCGGCTGGCCAAGCTCTGGGTCTCTTTGGGCACGCCTTTTGTTTAAGTCGCCTCCGAGAGACTTGAGTGTTCGGAAAGTGGACAGCTGAGAGACTTGAGAGCCCCAACACAGGACTTCAGGTCGGCGATGACGTCGCAGCATGCGAGAGTCGCCGTGAAACGGTGTGCTCGCGATGCTCATTGAACCGAGCTCCGGTAAGCTCCGTGCCTTCTTTGGTCTCAGGAACCTGAGCATGTTGACTCGACTGTTGGATAGCAATATGCAAGCGTCGCACGGAAGAGCAGTGGGTGCTCCAGAGTACTGAACACAGGATGCAAAGCTCTTCCAGACAGCTGCAGAATTCGGTAGGATTGGTGCCAGAACCGCTTCGTTTTCGTCATCCTCGTTGGGATGCTCCTCTCACCGCACAGAACACAGACAAAAAACGAACAGAAGAGCAAAAGAAATCGCAGCAAACGCTTGACCGTCCTCGATGCGATGAGCACCGGCAGCACCATTCCTGGGGTTTCCCGATGTCTCTTCTCACATTGAATGGGGCTTTTACCAAAGCCATGGCTGAGAGAGTGGCCTCAGCCGCTCTCGATATTGCCTTCCCGAAGACTGCAGCACCCCCGCAGCTAAACAAAAAGATGAGTTAAGCTGGCAGTCAGCGGCTTCCGAATCATTGAGGCTCTTTACTCTGCACACACGTGCTTCGCTGGAGCAACTCACGCGGTCGCATCTTGCCTGCCGGCTTTCTCCAAGGCCAGCTTGGAGCGATGCCTTGGCAGCAATGTCTGAAGTCAAACTCTCAAAGTGTCCGCGCAACAATCGACACACCTCTCACCTCCGCTCACTTCCACAGCCCACCCACTGAAACATCCCCGGTCTCCTCTCTGCGCAAGATTTGAGATTCCAACGGCAACCGGATCGCCCCTGACTTCCTCGGAGGGCCACCACAACTGGGGCCAGGTGAGGCCCACATCGCTCAGGGGACTATAAACTCAGCACTCAGCATCCGTTGGCGTAGGTCTTTCTCCCTGTCCTCCTGCGACCGCACCAAAAGCGGCTGAATGCTCCAATCAGCAGAGAAGGCAATGCTTGTTCTAGAGCCCCGACCTGCTTGGGCAGTATCTGTGCATCAGGCTCCGGCGTCTGGCGGGAATGCGTATACGACATATACAAAGCACACATTAAGGAACAAATGAAAGCACTTCAATGAAACTACAACGATGAAAGTACAACGATGTGTCGCAGATTGCGGCGTGTCAGCTCGAGCTCTCGGCACCTGCTCGGGCACGCCAGGTCCATTGCGGGCCTGACAAAGTCAAAACATGATGTGTGTGCGCGTGTGAGCAAACGAACGAGCGAGCGAGCGAGCGAGGGTGCGTGCGTGCGTGCGTGCGTGCGGACGGGCAGGCGGGCGGGGGCGGGCCGGCGCGAGGCGCGCGCGGCGCGAGCGCGCGCGCGCGGCGTGCGGCGTGCGTGCGTGCGCGTGCGTGCGCGTGCGTGCGTGCGTGTGCGTGCGTGCGCGTGCGTGCGCGTGCGTGCATGTGCGTGCATGCGTGCGTGCATGTGCGTGCGTGCATGCGTGCGTGCGTGCATGTGCGTGCGTGCATGCGTGCGTGCGTGCATGTGCGTGCGTGCGCATGTGCGTGCGCGCATGTGCGTGCGCGCATGTGCATGCGTGCGCGCATGTGCGTGCGCGCATGTGCGTGCGCGTATGTGCGTGCGCGCATGTGCGTGCGCGCATGTGCGTGCGCGCATGTGCGTGCGCGCATGTGCGTGCGCGCATGCGCGTGCGCGCATGTGCGTGCGCGCATGCGCGTGCGCGCATGCGCGTGCGCGCATGCGCGTGTGCGCATGTGCGTGCACGCATGCGCGTGCGCGCATGGGCGTGCGCGCATGTGCGTGCGCGCATGTGCGTGCGCGCATGTGCGTGCGCGCATGTGCGCGCGCGCATGTGCGTGCGCGCATGCGCGTGCGCGCATGCGCGCGCGCGCGCGCGCGCGGGCGCGTGCTCGCATGCTCGCGTGCTTGCGTGCGCGTGCACGTGGGCGTGTGCACGTGCGCGTGCGCGTGCACGTGGGCGTGCGCGTGGGCGTGGGCGTGGGCGTGGGCGTGGGCGTGGGTGTGGTTGTGAGTGTGGGTGTGAGTGGGTGTGGGTGTGGGTGGGTGTGGGCGTGGGTGGGTGTTTGGGTATGGGTGTGTGTCTCGGTGTGTGGGTGTGTGTTTGTGTGTGGAGACAGGTTGGTCATCCTGGAAAGGCGTCACTGCCATAGCAGGGGGGCAGAGGGGGTGCAGGGGAGCTCCGTCCAATGAAGCTCTCCCCTGCACCCCAGGAAAACGTACCTGCTTGCCCGCACCCGGGGTCCGGCGGGGCCAGCTGGTGAGGCATCGTGTCACTTGCATCTTCATCTCATTTCGTGCTACGCAATTCCTTTGCGTGTGGCGTAGCAAGGGGCCGAAACCATAGCCCTTGCGGATCATGTCATCTTGTGTTTGAATGCCATTCCTGTGGTGTGGCATACACGGTACAACAATCGCATCTCATCATCATGACATGAAAGGTTGTGCTCCACACAGTCACCAATGCATCAGTGTGTGACTTCGGTTGGGCTTTTCCCTCCTGGGCGCCCGCCAACGGCAGGTAGCCGAGCCTCCGGTTGGAGATAAGATCATCCGAAGCTTTTAGGATGTGACGGTCCGTGCGAGCCAAGTGTTTTCCTCCCGATTCAATCTCTCTTGGTTTTGATCCGATGTCTCCGAGAGACGGGTGTCGAGCTGATGTATATTTCCGCCTGAGGTCGTGTTTTGTCAGTTTGTCGGGGGCGTGGGCAGGCTCCCCCCTCTCGCCTCAAACTACCTGCCACATTTTTGTTTTCCAAGAGGTGCCCTTATCCACCACTTTGTGGACAGGACCCACATCCACTCAAAACCAAGTGGTGGCTCACTTTAACCTTCTTCTCGTTTTCCATGGGGGCTGTCAAACAAGTTTTAAGCAGTGCGAGCGCCAGGGCATGTGCACCGTTGTCTGCTTCCGTGATCACTAGATTGCCAGTGGATCCGAAGCTCAGCCCTCTCTGAGGGCATTGCGTGTGTGTGGAAACAGGTTGTTCATCCTGGAAAGGCGTCACTGCCATAGCAGGGGGACGGAGGGGGTGCAAGGGAACCCCTCCAATGAAGCTCTCCCCTGCACCCCAGGAAAACGTACCTGCTTGCCCGGATCTTGTGTTTGTATGCCATTCCTGTGGTGTGGCATACGCGGTACAAAAATCTCATCTCATCATCATGACATGAAAGGTTGCGCTCCACACAGTCACCAATGCATCAGTGTGTGCGTGTGTGTGTGTGTGTGTTTCTGCGGCGATTGCTTTGTCAGGGCTCTTTGGCACTTCATGACCGAAAAAACGTACGTCTCAAACTTCTTCCTCTTTGTCGACTTTGCTGGACACGCCCCGAAAAGTTCAAAGAATAAATCTCAAACTTCTTCCTTCTTTGTCGACATAATTCGCTGGACAGTTGGACAAGCTCAAAGCGTACGTCTCAAACTGCTTACTTATTTGCCGACTTTGCTGGACGCACCCCGAAATGCTCAAAGCTTAAATGTCGAAATTCTTCCTTCTTTGTCGGTTTTGCTGGACACCCCTGGAAAAGTTCAAAGCGTACGTCTCAAGTTTCTTCCTTCTTTGCCGACTTTGCTGGACGCACCCCGAAAAGCTCAAAGCGTAGGTCTCAAACTTCTTCCTGTTTTGCCGACTTTGCTTGAAACACCCAAAAAACTCCAAGAGTACGTCTCAATCTTCTTCCTTGCAAAGCGTACGTCCCAAACGTCTTCCTTCTTTGTCGACTTTGCTGGACACACCTGGGTGTTGTGCTTCTGTGTGTGTGTGTGTGTCTGTGTGTGTGTGTCTGTGTGTGTCTGTGTGTGTCTGTGTGTGTGTCTGTGTGTGTCTGTGTGTGTCTGTGTGTGTGTCTGTGTGTGTGTGTGTGCGTGTGTCTGTGTGTGTGTGTGTGTGTGTCTGTGTGTGTGTGTGTGTGTCTGTGTGTGTGTGTGTCTGTGTGTGTCTGTTTTTGGTGTGTGGCCTGTGTGGGTCGTGTGTGTGGTTTGTCCCTGTGTGTCTGTTGTGTGTCTGTTGGTCCTGGTTGTGTGTCTGTCTGTGTGTGTGTGTGGGTACTGTGTGTGGGTGTCTTGGTGTGTGTGTGCTCTGTGTGTGCGTGTGCCTCCGTGTGTTGTGTGTTTGTGCCTCTGTGGTTTGTTTGTGTGTGTCTGTGTGTGTGTGTGTGTGTGTGTGTGTGTGTGTCTGTGTGTGTGTGTGTCTGTGTGTGTGTGTGTGTCTGTGTGTGCGTCTGTGTGTGTGTCTGTGTCTGTGTGTCTGTGTGTCTGTGTGTCTGTCTGTCTGTCTGTCTGTCTGTCTCTCTGTCTGTCTCGTCTCTCTGTCTCTCTGTCTCTCTGTCTCTCTGTCTCTCTGTCTCTCTGTCTCTCTGTCTCTCTGTCTGTCTGTCTGTCTGTCTGTCTCTCTGTCTCTCTCTGTCTCTCTGTCTCTCTGTCTGTCTGTCTGTCTGTGTGTGTGTGTATATGTGTGTGTGTCTGTGTGTGTGTGTGTGTGTGTGTGTGTGTGTGTGTGTGTGTGTGTGTGTCT